CCCCTTATCACAATTACTAGGGTTCGCGGAAGACTATCAGAAAATTATTGTTAATGTTAAGCAAGAATTAATTCTCATGAGATCACGGACTGATGAAAACAGTTACATATCTAAACGTATAGGCGATCCAGAGAAAGCAAAAATTGAATTAACAAAGCTATGTTGGAAATTGCCTTATGTATCAGTGAACGAATTTACACGATTGACTCTTTTACGCCGACTAAAGTCGGAAAAAATCGTTTCAGTAGCATTCCGGAGCTGGGAATTGTTTGTTTACCCCCTCTTGCCCTCTACACAGAGACAAGTTTGGGCGGTAAAAACTTCAAATCAGATGGAGAAACCGAGATACATCGTATTAGCGTTTTCATCTGATCGAATTAATAAAATTGAAAAGGATGCTAGCCAATTCGATCATTGTAATATCAGTAACGTAAAACTATATTTAAATTCTAAATCGTACCCTTATGACGATTTAAATGTGGATTTCGATAAAAATCGATTCGCGATACTATATCACATGTATAATAATCTTCAAAATTCTTACTATCCTGGAAGATATCCTTCAGAGCCACTCCTTTCCCTAAAAAACTTTAAAGAAAAAGCACCGGTTATCGTAATCGATTGTTCTAAACAATCGGAATCTATCAAGTCCGGACCGGTCGATGTGAGGTTAGAATTCGATTCTTCCAAACCTTTTCCGCCTGAAACAACTGCTTTCTGCCTCATCATACACGATAACGTTGTAGAGTACAACCCTTTAACGAGTATTATAAGAAAAAGGGTATAAGTAATAATAAAGGGATTCATTGTAATTTATTCTCAGTTTTCATCATGTCATCAAACGGTGCGGTTGTGGAACTTCAATGCTTCGTAGATGATGCAAATAATTATATAGTTAAAGAATTATCGATTTTCGATTTAAAATATAATGCAGCCAGCAATTGGATTTTCAAACCACCTTCTCATCCGGTTGTTACCAGTGCTAAAAGCATGAAAACGAACCGCTGGCTTTCGAAAAATTATCATTTACTAAGTTGGGATGAAGGAGATGTTCCCTATCACAATTTATCATCGATTTTTCATAATATCGATTTAAATTATAAATATATTTTTGTAAAAGGACAGCAAAAAAAAGAATTTTTGTTACAATTTTTGCACTCGTGTGAAATTATCAATCTTGAGGAATATAAATGTCCTCGAATTGATAATATGCAAAGTATACAAATAGTCCCATGTATTACTCATAGAGACTTGAAATTAATGTGTTCATATTATCGTTCGCATATACTAGCAGAGTGGGTATATTCGAATTACGATTTGATTTTCAAATTTTTATAACTTTTGTTTAGTTTTTCTATAATTTGATAATAAAAAAAAATATATATATATAAAAAATAAAAAAAAATGTTTCAATTTGTTATTTATTCTATGTTAATTTGATTTCTTATTTTCAACAGATTTTTTTTTTGTTTTTGCATTTTGGTCACTGGCACGGTATTGATTTACCTGTAAACCAAAAGTATGTGTGTGTGTGTGTTTGATTTGGTCACTGGCGAGGTATTGATTTACTCGTAAACCAAAAGTATGTATAATTTGGTCACTGGCGAGGTATTGATTTACCCGTAAACCAATGTGTGCATGTATGTGTATGTGTTTGATTTGGTCACTGGCGAGGTATTGATTTACCCGTAAACCAATGTATGTGTGTTTGAAAATATGTAAAAACAAAAAAAAAAAAAAACCTCCTCGAAATACCCCCACCTTGACGTGGTGAGGAGGCTTATGTCAAAACATGTTTTTTGACGAACCAAGAGGGGTATGAAACAAATTATATCAACCTTAGGGTCACGTGACGAGAATCCTCGAATCTGATTGGCTGATGGTTTCCCCCACCATTCATTTTGGATACGGACATGTGTAACATGAGTTATTCTTGTATAGACTTGTTTTACTGAGTAAAGGGAGGTTACACAGAGCTCCTCTTCAGTCATTGTGTAGTCGAAGCTCAAGCAGTTAACATGGCTAGTCTCGCTACTCTCCTCAATGACGTCAATCGAAAAGGTGAAGGTATAGGACGGATATCAGACATGAAGGTAGATTTCACTTATGAAGTCGTGAAATTTAAAAGAATCATCACGATATATGGTGTTGCTGTTATTGCACAACTGAAATATCACGGTCCTACCGACATTTATGATATTCATCCACACTGTGTTTTCATGCCTAAAAGATTTACAGAAGTCTTAACTGACGAAAAGTTAAACGAATACAATTACTGTGAAAAAAGAATAAACATAATTTACAGAGGACTAATCAATGGTAGATATGAAGTGGATTTCATATAATTTTTTTTCTTTTGTTGGAATAAATTTTCTGTTTTGAAGAAGTTAGTTAATTTCTATTTTATTTAATTTTTTTTGTTTTTGCATTTTGGTCACTGGCGTAGTATTGATTTACTCGTAAACCAATGTGTGCATGTATGTGTATGTGTTTGATTTGGTCACTGGCGTAGTATTGATTTACTCGTAAACCAATGTATGTGTGTTTGAAAATATGTAAAAAAAAAAAAAAAAAACCTCCTCGAAATACCCCCACCTTGACGTGGTGAGGAGGCTATGTCAAAACATGTTTTTTGACAAACCAAGAGGGGTATGAAAAACAAATATATCAACCTAGGGTCACGTGACGAGAATCCTCGAATCTGATTGGCTGATGGTTTCCCCCACCACTCTCTTCCGACCCTACCGCTTCCTTCGCAGTGGACCTTGTCCCCCTACATGCCTATGCATGTTCAAACGTGAAGAGACTTGTCGCCTAACGCAGCTGTACTCTCACGGCCTTCTATATAACATATGTTATGAAAATAATATTACGTATATTAACTTTATGATTTTTTTTTTCGATATTAGAGTCTACTATTAGGTTATTATTGTAAAATTCGAAAATGATATTAGTTTTAAGATTGATTTAATAAAACTTTCTTTGATATTGGAGTATAAGATTATTCGAAGTGCCAGATACTCTCCACGGCCTTCTATATAACATATGTTATAAAAATAATATTACGTATATTAATTTTATGATTTATTTTTTTCGATATTAGAGTGTACTATTAGATTATTATAGGTGTAGTATTAGAAAATGATACTAGTTTTAAGATCGATTAATCGAATTTCGATTTATTACAATATTCGTGATATTGGAGATGTATATTCTTAGATTATTAAATACGTTTTGATATTTATGAAAAAAAAAAAAACAATATATAAAAGTTGATGAGAAGAAGAGGGGGGAGGGGAGGGTGATGACGTTGTTGTTAATTTTATGATATATTATCGTAAAATTATTAGAATATATGTATATATTTCATTGTTATAATTTATATTCCTTTTGTAATAATATATATTTTATTCGTTACAATTTATGTTTATATTCATTTGTAATAATATATGTGTATATTTCATTGTTATAATTTATATTCGTTTGCAATAATAAAATATTTTAGTCGTTACACTTTATATTTACTTGAGGTAGACAAGATGGGACCAGTTCAGACATGATATCGTAGAATGTCACAATATATGTCTATATTTATGTCGTTACACTTTATATTTACTTGAGGTAGACAAGATGAGACCAGTTGAGACAGGTCCGGACCTGTCGAACTTAAAAATGAAAAAATACAAATTAGGATTAAGGATTAGGATTAGGGATTAGCATTAGAGATTAGGGATTAAGATTAGGGATTAAGATCAATCAAAATAAATTATATTGGTCACGTGGTGTACAGGTGGTTAAGGTAAGAATAGCCCAGGGTCCAAAGTCCAAAAGTGCTCCCCAAATTCTGGGACCAGAACCGCCATTTATACCCTACTATTATTAATTTTTATTAAATAATTCTGGATAGTTATTCAATGGCATCCCGAGTAAATTTCAACACCCTAAAACGTAGCAACATATTGGCTACAAGCTCAATACACCCAAAACAATATGCCTACCAACTAGGGAAATCCTGTGAAGTGGCACTTCATAACTTGGTAGCAAGAATAGAAAAATCCTTAGAACAGAAGGAAATCATGATAGGCATCTTCGTTGATATCAAGGGAGCCTTTGATAGAACTCCCTATGTGACATCATTAATGATGCACTAAGGAAAAAAGATATGGACTCTTATGTCCTCAATATGGATTGGGAGAATGCTTGAGGACAGAGTCCTAATATCGGAATTAGGGCAAAAGAAACTGTGGATTAAACCTTGCGGTGGATGTTCACAGGGAGGTGTGCTCTCCCCTCTAATGTGGTGCTTTGTGGCTGACTCATTGTTGGAAGCCCTCAACACTGCAGGTATATATACACAAATGAAATTGCTATCCTAATAGGAGGAAAGCATCAGAGTGTTCACTCTGATCTCCTCAAAACAGTAACTGATATTCTGAAGAATTGGTGCAGCACTAACGGGCTGAGCATCAACCCTAGGAAAATCAGCATGTGCATCTTCTCTAAGAAGAAAAAGATGGTTATTAAAATGCCAGCAATTAATGGTATCCGACTGACACATAGCAAGGAAGTAAAACACCTTGGAATCATACTGGACCATATGTCCTATATTCATGAATCAAACACGTTCAGTACGTGACAAGTAAAGCCCTCAAATGCCTATGCACCTGTAAAAGAGCAATAAGGAAAAATTTGGGACTCAAACCTAAAAAAAGCTTACAGTGATATACACTGGCCACTGTAAGTTAAATTATCACATGTTCAGTCTCCGAGTGACGACAAACCCGCTATGCAGATTCTGTCAGGAGGAGAATGAAGCAGCTTTTCACATCGTTGGTTGATGTGATAGATTTTCAAGGCTTAGACTGGAGCTATTTGGGAAAGAAAGGATGGATCATCCCGGTAGATATGAGACTGTCAATCCACCAAGCCTATTAAGAAATATAATATGAGAGAAACCATGAGGCAAAGTAAATATCACATAACAACAAAAAATAACTTACTTGTTAAATGACTCAAATCCAGAAATATTTAATGAGTGTTTTTTAGTTTTAAGGTGAGAAGATAATGCAGCATAATGTGATCCAATCCCAATATAAAGATGACATCTAGACAACAGTCCTTGTGGATTACTAAGTTCTCGCTGGAGTGCCATTTCACTCCATTGAATTCCTTCAGAAATCTGCAAACAAGTAAAACACAATGTTATAGACATTAATCTAAATATAAATATTACAATACTTTTATTTATGACTGAGGGATGAACATACCATCTACACCAAGGATTCTCAAACCTCAAACACCCTGGGATGCCACTACTATAACCCTATATACATACCTATACATATCCTATATATATGTATATATATATATATATATATATATAAATATATAAAGTTCTACATAGGATAACAGGACCTATATGGGACCAGAACCTTGACACATGGAGGAGAAGGAACAATAAAGAACTGCTGAAAGAAACGGGTCAGTCAATATCTCATGACATAAAGGCAAGGATCTTAAGATGGGCAGGGCATGTAGCTCGTAGCAATCCATCAGAACGCCTTTACATGGCAATGAATACCAGAGTAGTAGGCAAGAAACTATGTGGAAGGCCAAAAACCAGATGGATAAATAGGATAAACAAAGATACGGCTGAGCTTCATACCGCAAACTGGAAAGCAGTAGCCCAAGATAGACAGAGGTTCAGGCGGCCAAAGATCTACAAGGTCTGTAGAGCCAACCGAAAAAAAAATATATATATATATTTTAATATTTAATATTTATTATTAAAGATAAAAATCTATTGTGCCGTGAATACACATTTAGAAGATTCATAAATTAATATGCATCTTGGAAAGAGACATTGAATGTATCAACAAATGAATATTATTACAAAATTAAAGAAATTCCCAGATATCAGTATCAAGAAAAACTGTAAAATGAAAAAAACTGAAAATTTGAAAACTATAATGACTAGAATGTGAGAAATTAAATTAACAAAATTGTATGTTCATAAAAAGAATTCTCCTTTCATAGTTGTGGAAAAATGATATTGGCAACTAATTTTTCACATTTATCTGAAATAAAAAAAAGATACTACACTTACAGGGTGGAAAATATTTTTAATGCAAAGATTCTGAAAACTACATCAAAATAATTTATCCTCTCTGAAATTCCTGTTTGTGAAGTACCTAAAAATTATTAATGACATTGAGAATACAATGTTCTAAAATGGAATAAATTTTTTAAAATTTAATATATCAAAATATTTTTTCAGTCTATCATAAATTTTTAATAACTATAAATGAAAGTATCAAAATGTAGTTTTTATGTGGAAACCCCGAGTTTTTGCCAAGCATCAGCTGCATGTGTCATGTAAAAGTTAAAAAGCAATAGAAGCTTTTGAGACTTACAGAAGTAGGTCTACAACTTTTTCTCTGGCATTTTTTGAAAAAAAAAAAAAAAGATCATCTGTTTGGCTTTGAAAAGTATTTGAGCCAATTTATTTTGTACATCCAGTTATATCTATAAAAGCTACTTATCTTTTAAAAAATTGGCATTCATATAATTTACATTGTTTAAGTGAGTATAGCACATCCTTGCAGCAAGAAGACAAGGCATGACTTTGGTTGATTGCATCCTAACTACTTCTTTTATGATAGCAAGAGCTTCAATGTATCTTCCCATGTTTTCTAAGCACAGAGCTCGCTGCATCCAGACATGACTCTCTTCATATGAAAACTTTAATGCACGTTCAAGAGACTGTAAAAGTATGAGGAAAAGTTATTTATGCTACATCAACAACAGTGTTATAAATAATATTTTTTTTAAATTGTGTACTATAATAATTTGTGGAAAAAATTTATAATTTCAAGATTAGTGTTCAAAGCAGAATACATAGATGATTTATAATAATCATGAAACAGAATCCCTACATTATTAAATAAAATACACAAACATATGTGTACTATAGAAACTCCTCAAAATAACAAAGTAAGTATTTAGATATATACATACAGTGGCTCACGGCCAAAATGATACATCTGGATATTGATAGAAATTGTTGAATAAATAAGTAGTTCAATTTATGTTACATTAAAAACAATTATTTATGGTAATCAATAAACATCCTAGTAAAATGTTATTTTCTTTTTCTTGTTCTTATGTTATGTTTCTTGGTGCGGGATAAATGGCGGCTTCTGGTATAGGAAATCTTCAATTAATAGTGGAAATATTCACATGGTATAATGAATAAGTATGCCTACATAGACATTTTCAGAAGAGACTTGAAAGAAGTTGTGGAAAATTTGGACTAAAAAATAAATTTTATTTTTATTAGGATAATCACCCCAAACATTCTGCCCTGATAGTTAAGGATTGGCAACTTTATAATTGTCCCAAAGTTATAAAAACACTACCACAATCACCAGATCTAATGTTATAGAACACCTGTGGGCAAAATTGGAGGTAGAAATTGGAAAATACAAAATTTCTAGCAAAGAAGACCTTAAAATATTGTAAGGTTACGTTTCCTTTGAAAAGTAAACAAAACAGTTTTTGAATCAAATAATATTTATTTTACACAATAATTAATTCTCAGGTTGGGTTGAGACAAATAACACACATTCCTCAAATATATAATACAAAGCCATAAATTAATTTTATATAACTTATTTATGAATTTCCATTGTTTGTCGGGGTCTACTCTTAACGCGCTTTCCAAATGTCACTATTTATATTTCTCCTCATTTATATTTCTCCTCACTATTTACTCATCCTGTTCTTCTTCTGTATTGTTGTGTTCAACTTCTTCAATCTTCTATTCTTTCTTTGTTGACACTCACTACTTGTTAGTCACATTTTCTTCTCTCGATCCTCTTTACTAGCCGGCTGGCTACGTTCTGCCTTAACATCTGGCTCTTCTTCCCCCACCATCTGTCTTTGTCCATTTTTGATAGTAGTTCGTCACCTCACTGCCTTAGCACCATTATTTTTTATTATTTTTTTTATTTCTTTATGACATTTACAACTGTATTACATAAATGCATCAAGTAAATTTGAACATAATTGATATAATGACATGAATACACTTGCTGAGTAACTACCCAATGGTAGCATTCTAATGATATGACTACATTAGGAGATCACGGGGCCATCTTCTTTTCAGACGCCTTGGAGGGTTATCAGGAATTGTAGAGGAAGCAAGGTTAGAAACGAGAGGGTTGGGATGATTCTGAAGTTTATTATGGAAGGATAGGTATCTGGATTGGGCCAGATCTGAAACATAAGGAACATTAAGATCTTTATGGATAATTTTATTAGTGACAAAGTAAGGAGCATTGAGGATTTTACGAAGGATTTTGGATTGTAAGGATTGGATGCGAGAGGAATTCGATGGTTTAGTGGAGCCCCATAGCTCAACTCCGTAAGTCCAAATAGGTCTTATTATAGTCAAGTATATGAGTCTTTTGTAAGTAATGGGAAGTTTAGAGCGTTTGTCTAGTAAGTGCTGAAGTAATCGGAAACGTCGAGCGGTTTCTTGTCGTTTCAGTCTAGTATGAGGATTCCAAGTTAGTCGTTTGCTCAACAGGGATAAGTGGAGTATTTTTAAAGGAAACTGTAGGACAGGAAGTCGTTGGTTTACGACGAAGGGTAAAGGTAATTTGAGCACCATTATTTAAAATCACTATGTTTATATTTACATTACAATATATTTCCCCGAAGAATAGAACAGGCTAAGCCCAGAACCACCAAAAAATTGGTCAACTCCATTACAAACAGACTGAAAGGGAGCGGTAGAAAATAATGGCTTGCCTACAAGGTGTTAAACTAAATTAATAGTATTCAACAGTTAGTAAGAAGTGAGGTATATCAATTTGACTGTGAGGTAAACGTATTCAATTTTTTTTAAAATTATCACAGTCAAATATTTTAATTTTATTGAGTTTGTACATACCTAAAATGAGATTATAAATAAATTTGTTGAAGAGTTTCTGGATTTATTTACTGTAACCATTGAAGTTTTTTTCTATTTTTCTAAGGTTTTAGTAGCAAAAAAAATATAAAAAGAATGGATGGAATAATATAATAGTGGGGGATAGAACACAAATGATTTTTAATTTAATATTTATTATTATAATTATTTTTAATTTAATTTTTAAATTAAAGTTCAGACCACTTAAACAAGGTATCTTTTCTTTCTTTTTTTATTTTAATGACAGAGTTAAAGCCTCCTGGCATCGAGACGAGAACTCATAATTGTTATATCAATTTATCTTCGATCAGGTTTCCGGACAATAAGGTGCTGTGCACACACGTTAGTTCTCTCGGCCACCCCGCCTTATTCAACAAGGTATCTAGCATAACTGACTAATTCCATCCATAAAATGGTCCTGCTAGATCAATGCGAAGTTGTGATAACCACAGATGGTCTCGGATGTTCTAGAAAAACTTCTGGTTCTTCATCTCTACCATTCTGGCAGAGAATACATCGGGCTATCCACTATAAAATTTCCTTGTCAATACCTGGCCACCAGAGATATGTCTTATAAAGAGACAATCTCCAGGTTTCCAGTGTGGAGTATCTTCAGTAATTTTGAGCAATGTGCTTTGGGAAAAATAATTCTTCCTACATTGTAATTACACCATCTTCTACAAGATCACTTTGAATGATCAAGTAAGATTGTAAATCCAAAAAAATGTAGCCTGGCCATCTGCTCTAGATATCCGATCCTAAGTTCAACCTTGCTTGATTTCTTAAGCCTTTCTCAGGATAAAAAGATTTCAGCTTTTTCTTCCTGAATGAAATCAAATACAGTTTACATTTCCTTAATATGTTCCTTTGTTGCAATTCCTGAATCCATGTGTGCTAAAATAACACCTAAACCTGAGATGCATCACACATTATACATATGAATTTTTCTTCTCATCAAAAGGAATAATTCAGTTGTTGAATGAGGGACAGTTTGCAAGTGCTTAAAATACTTTTTATGAACAGTTATCCAATTCTATTTTCTTTAACTTTAAGTGAACTCATGAAGGAGCTCACATTTTTCATTAAAACAAGAGATAAAACATTTATAATAATTTATTAGACCAATGTTACTCTTAATTCCTTGACATTCTTAGGAAAGGTGATTCTTTTTCTTATTGTTTCCACTTTTCTACTAGTTGATGGATCTCTTCCGCATCAAAATTGAGTCCTAACTGTATTGCTTTTTTTTACCAATAATCAAGGATTTTACTGATTTCAACCAAAACTTGTTTTTTTTCTTCATTCTTGACAGAATCTCCCTCAGAGATTTCAAGTGTTCACTTCTTGATGTCCTGTGATAACATCACCCAGCAGCACTCCTATTCCTAAGGATCCACCGAGAAGTTCTTGCATGAACCCTTGGAACCTGGCAAAGGCTAAAGCTAAACAGAATGTCATTCTTGTACATCTGAAATTGCTAAGGTGACTGGCGATTGTCAATAGAAGACTAACGTTTTCATGGCACATCATTTGCTGATAAGCATCCTGCAAATCTATACCCCTAAATTCGAATCTTCCAACTAATTTAGATGCCAAACTTTCAAATATCAGAAGTAAATGAAAATCTGGAAGTAAATAAGGCTGATTGTAACTCGAAAATTGCCAAAAGTCCAAACGAGCCCTTGATCTTTGTCAATGTTTACTATAGGCGTTGTCCTTTTAATGAGAGTGATTTCAAGGTTCACCTTTTCAATGATACCTTCAAAAGACGTTCTAATTTTTATCCTACTAATTTTCACAAGCCTTGATAAGGGTCAACCCGGATTACTGGATTTCGCAATTCCTTACTGGGAATTGGTGCTTTCGAGCCAAGCTCCATGGCTTTGAAAAAGATATCGATCTCCTATGCTCTAGCTGTAGGATCCTGGAGACTGCTGAGCACATTATCCTGAGCTGAACCATCTTCAAGTCGCTAAGGACTAAATTGTATTCGACTCTATGTTCTCACAGAGAACAATTTCTCTCAGCTAGTTACAGAAGTAAACTACCAATACTACAAAGAATTTGTGTATGGGTGGAAAGAAGCAGTAAGGCCCCCACACTTCAGCCTCACAAGAAGAGGACCCACTCCAGAAAGGCCACTGGAATGAAGAGGAGTGGAATAAGAAGCCATAAACAGCTGATCATAATATGAAAATTGGTCTCATTGCAGGAGCAGGCAGTTAGTTAAGCAATCAAGTGTAACAGCCCAGTTCTGCAAAACCCATATTGATTCAATGGTACGGTAGAGTTCAAATAAATAAATAAACATGAGTCCATTCAATTTGACTTAATGATAGCCTGAGGAGTCCAAAGAAAACGACTGAATTCATTTTAAAAAGTCTTGTTTTTCCTCATCATCTGTATCAGATGTTCCTAAACAGTAAGTTTCTTGGGTGATCTGAAATAGGAGACCCGCAAAAAGCTTGGTAATGCCCTTTTCTACCACATTTATTGCATATAGCATTCCTACGAGAACATTTATTATTACTGTGAAGCAGAGGTGCCCATCCTCCTAAGGCTCTGGCACAAGAATCCGTTTCCCCTCACTCCCAAGATATTTTATTGCTCAACTTTTCTTAAAAATAGAGCAATCTAAGGAAGAATTTGAAAACTCGTAGGTCACACACAATTACACTTTCTGCAGTATATTCCATGTTTCCTCTTGTTCCTTAGTATGAAACTTTTCATTCCGAAAATTCATAAATCCACCAAAATGTGTCCCTCTCAAAAATTCAAAAAACCCGCCAAAATATGCCCCCCTCAAAAATTTTGATGGAGGACTTGTGCCATGAAACCCCCTTCTGGACATCCCTGCTGTGTAGTTTATAAACACATCAACCACGTTTCTTTCTTTTCTTAGATGTTGAAATATTTTTATTTTCCCTGAATTGCGCATGCATGCAAAACATTTACCAAATGAGGTTACAGTTACTATACATAAAATGAAAAAAAAAAATTACCTCATGAAGAAGACTAATCTGCCCCCATCTAACCAGTGTTATAGTCAAAAGATCATATACTGCAGTTGCATTAGTCAAAGCTCTTAATCTTACATCTTTGAATTCTGGAGACTGACTGAGAACTGCTTCTCTACCTGCCATTGCTTCACTACATCATTCAAACAATACTTTTAAAAAAAATGTTAATAAAACAATCTGAATAAATTATTTTTATTAATCATGAAAACACCATAACTAAAATTATTACTAATATTTCTTTGTAAATAGTATATATCCTAGGCCACATTAAGGTTAGGAAGTGATAAAGGAGGCCACAATATTTTTTTATATTTAACTGTTGATATTTTATTTATAAGTAAATATATATATTCAACTTAATTCTATTAATTTTCAAACTTCTTAGCCTAAATAATCAAATATTAATTAATTCCAGTGCTAGATTAATGAAGTTCTCACAAAAACTGACGGGGCCGTAGCTAGCTCACAGAGGTCACATTTCCCCCCTGTGGTATAGGTTATAACCCTAGTCAGGTCAAATCCAAATGTAACAGATAAGTAAGATAAATATATAAATAATATTATGCTGCACATGTATTAACAAATATGTACAATAGTAAAAGTTTGAGATAATTACAACAGGTACACCAGGTGTGCAAATATGAAACCGGAATCCATCCGTAAATGGCTCTAGTTGTTAATTTAGTTACCCCTAAAACAAATTATTAGCATAATTTTTTTCATTTTTTGCTGGCAAAGGTTTTATTTAACAGGATCATTTTAATAGTATTGAACATGTAGAGCTTTGTGTCAACAAACTAGGATTTGCCATATAGCAGTAGCTTACTGTTATAATTTAAAGAAAACTGGTCTAGAATCGCATCAAATGATTGTAAGCATGTTGTTGATAAATTACAGAGCTTTGATTGATTTAAAAAATTATAAGGAGCAATTATAATGTAAAAAATGAAGAGCATAGAGTGTGTGCATAATTTATTAGGAGCTGCTAAATCCTGGTGAACTAATAATGGACACTACAAACAACAAACGATTGATTTGAATTGAGAATTTCATGAAAAACCCACCAGAATAATAAAAAAGAAAACACAAAGTGATTTTGCTTCATGATAATGCACTATCACAAACAGCAAAAACAGTAAAGGGAACGACTGAAGCGTTCAGTTGAGAAATATTAACAATTCTGGCTTACTCGCCAGACTTCTCTACGCCCCCACATACTGCATTCATATGAGCTGCTAAATCCTGGTGGACTAATAATGAACATTATATATGACAAATGATCGATTTGAATCGAGAATTGCATGAAAAACAACCAGAAAAAAAAATCTGGTGCACGCAACACACAACTTTCACTTACCACTCTGTTTTGAATAGAAATTATTTGTTAGCAATGATGGACTATTGTAAAATTTTTGAAGTGCATTTTAATGGAGCTACAGCTTATAAGTTTTTAGCTAACAAATCATTAATTATTAAAAAAAATCTATAAATTACATCAACGGTAGACAATAAAAACCTCATTAAACTATCTCTTTTACATATATATATATATATATATATATATATATATATATATATGGGGCTGGAGTAGCCTTGTGAGCTAAGGCGCTTGCAATAGGTAATCAAAGTTAAGCAACGCCGAGCGTGGCTAGAGCACTTGGATGGGTGACCGTCCACCAAAGAAAGCCAAGCTGCCCGAGATCCCTCCTCTCCCCCCCCGGGTATGTGAGGCCTGTCGGCCTACTGGAGGCACCTCACACTGACCGGGTGTAGGATTGATGAACCTACCCCATACTTTAAATCGGGAATCGGGATGTGGTCTAGGAGACCACACTAGCGGTCAAAGATCTTCATGGTCTGCAGCGCCAACCGAAAAAATAAAATGAAAAATAAATAAATATATGTATATATATATATATATATATATATAGATATATATATATATATATATATATATATATATATATATATATATAATATATATATATATATATATATATAGATATATATATATACGATAGATACCTAATTATTCAAATATGATATCGGATGTAAAATTAATAAACTATAGTAAATTCATTTAGTTATTAAGGATCTTGAATATTTAGTCAGCAAATTTTTTACATTCTCCAAACAGAAATGTAACCTCCCTCCCCCTCTGACTGACTATGTTTATCTACCTTTTGCTATCTGAAAAAAAACAACTCAGAAATCCTCCCCCGACCCTTTCACTTACCTACCAAATATGTCAGTACTTGAAAACCTTCAGTACTCAAACCACGATTAGTGGTATAAAAATGGATTATATACATTATTTTTAGTTTGTATAACTTTTTACATATTTCATTTTTAATATTGCATATTGATTGTAATATTAGTTAAGATTCATGTGATTGAAATATATATATAGTAAAGGAAAGTATTAATATAAAAATTTTCGAATAGCAGTTTTCACCGGAATACACGTTTTGAGATTCCTTTGGTCCAAAATAACCAAGTCTCACAAAATGGTCTGTGTGCACGTTTCCATGCGAAATTGACTAACAGGAAGTGATGTGTGAGGGGTGGCCAAATGGGATAACGCGTGTGCACAACACAATCTGATATATCAATCAAATGGTATAAAAATAGTCACGAGTTCGTGTCCTGGTGCCCGAGGAAGTCTTTTAAATCTCCGCCCACACTCCATGACCCAGGAAAACTCCGCATAGCTTTAACGGCGAGGAAGGGGAGGACAAAAAAAAAAAAAACCAGAACTGGCACTTTATATCATTGATTTAACACATTTTATGATTTTCTTGAAAACGGCTCTAACAATTTTGATTAAATTCATTATATCAGTGTAAAATTAAGCAGTTTTAAATATAATATAGGTTTTATTCTCATTGATGTCTCTAACACGGCTTAAATGGATAATTTTCAATATTTCTTCCACTAAAATATCTTTAATTTGAAATAATTGACCATCTTACATTAATCTCAGATATAAAAAATAGTTAAATATAAAATAGGAAAGAATTTGATAATTAACTAAAGCAGAAATAATAATTATTCAGACTCAGAGCACCTCAAAAAGTGTATTTCCGTTGAAAACTCAGATTCAAAAATTTTCACGATTGCAATACTTTCCCTTACTACATATTTCCTATGTAGGTAATTGAAAGTAAAAATTATAACAGATAACAACAGGAAAACAGGTGATGGAAACTTCATAATAAATTTTAGTGTTTTTATCCACCAGGTAACAGTAATTTCATTAAGCAACCTGACTATATAGAATGAAATAAATATTAAAAGGCTTTTTAAAATAAACATTTCATTTACCTTATTAATAGGAGCAAAATAATTTCTTCACATTCATTTCGCGGAATAAATAAATTATGACCAGAATAAACCCGAGGTTTCCAAGGACTTGAGTTTCCACTTCTCCTATTCAGAGTTCCTAAGGGCGATACAATTTTATGAGTTATTATAATTTTTGAATAATCAAAGTACTTAAGAATAATTAATACAAAATTAATTAAAAGAAACATCTTGTATGACAAAGCCAACAGAAAAACAAACCATTCCCATTCGCAGAAGGTGGAGTATATTTCATTCCAGTAAAACCTCTAATAAGAACTTCTCCTAACTGCCTTGTTAGTATTAATCGGAGTGTATGAGTGCCACTTGATTCTTCAGCTGACAGCATACTTCTACAAGGAAAATCTATTGGTAACAAGTCATAGCAACTCATAAAGATAAAATAGCATAAATATAAGAGTCCAACCGGTATTTATTGACTGCAGCTGGTAATCTACCAGCAAGTATATGAAGAAGTGGTGCTCTTTGAAGAGCTGTTTCCAAAATTGGTCCCATTGGTCGAACTGAAGCCATTGGTTGTGGAGAGTGGGATCCTATAAAATTAAAGACAAATATCAAATAAAATTATATTTAAACTACTTTACGTATTAATATTATGTAGGTAGGAGGAAAAAAGAAGGTAAAGTTGGCCTTTCTTTTTTGAAGTACCTACTTTTTTATTTTGTTGAAACTAATTAAGCCCAGTTGCAAGCCTTTAAGTCCTTTTAACAGAGTTAAAATCATACAACCAACTTAACTACAGAAAGAGTAAATAAATGAACTTGATCCTGTAGAGTTGTTTCTACAACCTGGAAATAAATATAATGCATTGTTCCAAATGCACTAAGAAATAAGTTCTTTGATTACTATTAGGAACTTCCATTTCTTGAACAGTTTTCTTTATCCGAATTCCAGTATTTAATAAATCTAATATTATCTAACAAAAACTTTCATGATTGTCTCTATCACCTCCAAACTTCTGTTATACACCTGTTTAACACTCTCTGAGTTGGACATATAGTGAACCAGTTATCAAGTCATTTTTGTATACTTTCATAAGAAGTGAAGTGCTGCTGAGCAATGGTCTGTTGACTTAAATAAATAATAGTCTGGCAGAGCGAAGTCTGGTTACTAAGCTGCTTGTGCAAATAGTTTCTAACTGCATGACACAATTGTTTTCTGCAGTGGATTCCTGTTTGTGATTAAAATTGCCACTTTTGAATTTTTTTAAACCATTAAAAGCTCTGTGATTTACACCAAGAACAAGCTCACCATAAGGTTTTACAATCATTTAATGTGATTCTACACTGGTTTTCTTTAAATGGTAACAGAAAGCTAATGCTGTCTGGCAAATTCTCGTTTGCAGGCACTAAACTTGACATTTTCAACACTATTAAAACTATGCTGAGTAATTATTTAGATGAGGACCGTATGGGTTGCACGTGGTTGACAATCACATCAGTCACACTTATTCATGGAGTAGCGAAAAAATCTTTAGGATAAACCTCGATTGCATTCGCCACTCCATAAACAAGTGTGACCAAAGTGATTGTGAACCATGGGTAACCTGTGCGGTATTCATCTAAATAATTACCAATATATATCACAATACTATTTTCGCTTTCAATGAAAATTTTTCTTGCTCCATATAGAGCAAATTTTTAATCAAGAAATTCCAATTTCCTCTCTCTCCTGGTTAATGGTGTCCCACTTAACCAATGTTAAAATCTGGTCACCTTAAACTAGAGCCTTCTATGGATAAATTTGTTTTATATTTACAAGACTAATATTCATTCATTCATTCATTCATTGCTGGGCTCTACTGTTTATGGAAATATTGTCAGATTTTAGATTGCACCACCACATATCGACTTTTTTTAACTTTCCGGATTTAATCGATATCAGGGTCGACTATTATGCTTTATGGTACACTTTTTATGAAAATACTGTCGGATTTTAGATTGCCCTACCCTCCCGCATCAATTTTTTATAACTTTTCGGATTCAACATATATCAGGGCCGACTATTATGTTATGGAGGGCACTTTTATCAAAATACTGTCGGATTTTATATTGCGCCCCCGTGTACCAACTTTTTGTAACTTTCCCTATTTAATCGATGTCAGCCCATTGACCATTAACTGGCCCACACAATTAACTTTTCGGATTTTATCGATATCAAAGACGACTATTATGTTTTGTGGGAGAGCCTTTTATCAAAATATTGACGGATTTGAGATTGCGCTCCTCTGCATCAAGTTTTTGTAACTTTTCAGATTTAATCGATATCAGAGACGACTATTATGTTTTTGGAGGAGCTTTTTGTTTAAATACTGTCGGATTTTAGTTTGAGCTCCCCCCTCCTCCCGTATTGACTTTTTATAACTTTTCGGATTTAATACATATCAGGGCAGACTATTATGTTTTTGGAGGTGTTTTTTTATAAAAATATAGTCAGATTTTAGATTGCACCCTCCCCCTCCCCACGCATCGAATTTTTATAATTTTTCGGATTTAATAGATATCAGGGTCGACTATTATGTTTTGGAGGGCGCTTTTTATCAAAATACTGTCGGATTTGATATTGCGCCGCCCACCTCGCATCGAATTTTTATAACTTTTCGGATTTAATAGATTTTAGGGTTTACTATTATGTTTTGGAGCGTGCTTTTGATGAAAATACTGACAGATTTTAGATTGCGACCCCGCTTACCAACTTTTTGTCACTATCCGGATTTAATAAATATCTGGGTTAACTATTATGTTTTGGGGGCACTTTTTATGAAAATACAATCGGATTTGAGAAGGTGCCCCCGCCTACCGACTTGGCCAATCTCTGCCTATAATTGGCCAATATCAATAATAGTCACTATTGCTACATGCTCTTCTGTAGCTTCAAACATCTGTGATCCCTATAACTTTTAATCCTGACCACTTCTTTTTTTCCCATATTACACTTGATGACCTCCTCAACTCCATTCAAAAGTCGCAAGCCAATGATTATGGACCCAATAACATCCCAGTCAGACTGATCAAAGCCTCACTACCATCCATCCTTCCAATCCTTTACCATATCTACAATTACTCACTACATAACGCTACCTTTCCTACACCCTGGAAATCCGCACTAGTTCGCCCTATGAAGAAAACTTCCAACCCATCAACTCTTAATGATTTCCGTCCAATTTCTCTCCTCTCAAACCATTCCGAACCTTTAGAGCGACTAGTTCAAACCCAGTTATCCAATTTTTTAGAACAGAATAACCTCCTAAATCCCAATCAGTCCAGTTTCCGGCCTGGCTACTCCACTCAATCTGCCCTCATCAAAATTTCCCAAGACCTTCATACAGCCATGGATCAGCAGACACTCACCATCCTTATTCTCCTTGACTTCTCCAAAGCCTTTGACTCAGTAGACCACAAAATTCTCCTAACCAAGCTTAAAAAATGAAAACAGTCAATAATAAAACAAAAATAACATTTAATTTTTAAAATGCTAACTGGCCCGTTTTATTTTCCTTTATGTTTCTTATTATTATCATGTTGTTATTTGGTCTTTGTCTGACGAAGACTTGGAACTTTAGCAAAACAAACATCGGCACAAAAAAAATATTTTTTTTTTTTTGTGTAATTCTAATGACTGCAATACCCAACCAACTTCTCTTATTATAAAAATCTTTTTAAAGATTTGTGCTAGAATAAAAGTGTTTATTTCCAACAGAGTACTCATATTATTTTTCAAACATAAAAATCATTTATTATGGGTATTTATATTTCGAACCCTAAGACAACATTGTGGCAACTACGACAGGAGCTGTTTGATTATTCTTTTTTTTATTTTATTGACTGACCTCAACATGGATTTTAAGAATAAAAAAAAAGGAAGATTTTCCATGCTGCATTGAACAGGTGTGATAATGACCTAAAACAATCGCTTAATTGTGATTGACTTGATTTTTAAGAATTGTTTTTCACTGGGAGGTTTTGACACAGAAGTTTAAGGCTTTGGAATTGATAGAGAAAGAAATCAAGTGGTGAGTGATGGTTCTAAAGAGAAAATTATGTCGTAAATGATATGTGTTGATGGTAATAGGAAAAAGTACACTCTCCAGAAATGTAAGTACCATATTATTAAAACAGATAATGGTACCATTTGAAATATAAATCAACATTCATGTGATGAGTCCGTTTTTGACAAAAGACAGATAAAATTACTAAATATGTAATTCAATAGGTTCGCAGATGATATTAATAGTAGGCTTCCTATTTGGAATCAATTTAAAAAGATTGATGAATAATCTTCCAATTCAGTATTTATTTCATAGTACATTGCCTCATAGTCTAGCTCTTCACATTGTTGATAGTTTTTCTGCCAATGATAAGAATTATGAAAAGATTGTGGCAGCTATAAAAGATAGGTTTGGAAGAGAAGATTTACATATCAAAAGAAAGTAGATGATTTAGATAGTTCAGTTGGAGTTAATTATTAATATCACAGGATTGTTATAAAAGAGTGGCTCTACAACAACAATCAGACCAGTTTTTAATGCTTCCCCTCATTAAATGACTGTCTTGAAAAAATCATAATTTGACTGAATTAATACCAGATGATCTTTTGAGATTTACATTAACAAGATTTCGTGTGGGGCATGATATAAAACAGGCTTTTCCATCTAACATAAATTATTAACAGTTAAACAATTTCTAATGTCTTAACTGACAGGAAACATAGGCTTTTTCCAATCAAATCCAAAATTTTTTAATTAGAACATATTTATTGAGAGATATAACAATCTATCACAATTACAGACATTTATAATAGTGTTTAAAGAGCACATTCACACTCCATTCAAATCCAGAATTTAACAAAAAGTTTAATTTCCTACAAAAGCATTAAAAATTAGATGATGGTTAGTAAGTCATTTTATCTTTTTTTCACAATTGAGTAGCGTATTCAGCCTCTTAAGAATTCTGGTTCTTACACAATGCAGTTTTCAATATTATTCCTCAATATTGAATAAGGATCTTCAGCAAGTAAAGGAGAGGAACAATGTTCTTGAGATTTTTTTTTATTTAATCAGCCATCACAAATGATTATGGCATTAATTTTTTCTATACACTGCTAGATGTTACTTGCCAAACTCTAGCAGTAACCCATGAAGGAAAGCTGTATCCTCATTTGATGATGAGATTCATTAGTAATGATTTAATAATTAATCTTGTCTAATTAGATTACTTACTATATTTAATATTAGTTTACTTTAACATGTACTTTAGATTTTCATTCACAAAACATCAGATTTTTTAAAAATGAGTACCTTAAACTAGGAAACGTTATGGGTACTTTACTCTTGTATTGGCCAAATATAACAAATCCGATAAAGAAAAAACAATCAACCTCAAATTATTTCATTAAATAAATATTCTTCACAATACATAAATTTGAAAAAAAAAAAACAGAATTTTTCGATTTAAAAAAAATTATTTAGGATATATTATAATTACCTGTTCCAGTTCCAGTATTACTAACAAACTGTTGTTGAATTTTGTCCTGTTCTTGCAAATAAAGCAATGTCAAATCTCCAGCCAATTCAAAACTTTTAACCATTTGTTCTTCCCATTCCACATGCTTGTATTTTGATGTAGATGAAGGTGGAACTTTTTCAAGGCAAAGACCTGAACAAAAAAATTTGTTGAGAAAACAATTCTTTAAAAATACAGTGATTGGTAGTTATATTTTTTATGAAAATTGGAAGTAATATACTTATATTGATTTTAACAACTAAAATTCAATTTATTCTTGTATCATTAACAAAACCTTATTTTTGAGTTTACTTCATGTTTCATGCCTTATTGTTAATTTAGATTCATCATAATTTGTTTTAAATTCAAATATTATTTTGTTTTTCTGTTGTCATTATAGTCCTTGCAGATTTTTTACCACCATTACAAGCCTACTATATCTCTGCCTGTCTTGGGCTATTTCTTTTCCAGTATCAGTATGCAGCTCTATTGTATCTTGGTTGATTCTATCCATCCATCTGCTTTTTGGCGTTCCACACGGTCATTTGCCTTATAATAAGGCATTCATTGTTATGTTGATGCTACCAGATGGATTTCTACAAGCTACATGCCCCACCCATCTTAACCTCTGTGCCTTCATACCATGGTATATTGATTTACCAGTTTCTTCTCCAGTAGCAGTTCTTTATTGGTCTTTCTTCTCCATGTGTTAGTACTCTGATCCCAGATTGCTACGGTTATCGTGCGGAGGATTCTTCCCTCAAATCTTTCAACACTTTATTCTAGGGTGCTGGTTAGTGTCCAGGTCTCACAGCTATTTATTAGAACTGGTTTTATCCTAGCCTTGTTCACCCTTAATTTGAGATTTTTCGGGATTTCAATACCTTTGTTAGGGAGAAGAAAGCTCTGTATGTGCTTATTATATGCTGCTCTATTTCCGACAGTTGGTCATTCATTGAGATTATTGTGGAGCCAAGGTATTTGAATTTTTCTACACTTGAGAACGATTTCCCTTCTATGCAGATCATATTATTGGGTTGGAATTTTCAAATTATTATATATATTTTGAAGAGAATTTGGTTGGAGTGTTCATTCAACAAGTAAAAATAAATAAATTATATTTATTTTTATTTTTGTTGACATTTTGGCCCTAGACACAGGACTTCATCAGTGCTCATCTTCATCTCATGAAAAGGATCCAGAGTTTGTAGGAACAGCCCTGATGAAGACATGAACCTTGTGCAGAAACATCAGAAAAAATAAATATAATGTATTTATTTTTACTTTGTTACTTTTTAACTGAACACACCAAACAACGTCTCATCAATATACCTATGACAGTCAATTATTAATTCACAATCATTTAATTGTAAGCTGATTTTCTCTGGTTCTATTATCAGAGTCTTAGAGAGTTTCTCAAAGTCCTCTTGAATAATTCCAAGGAAAACTGCATCATCTACATATCCTAGGATTTTATGATTCATTCTGATGTGGACCCCCATTTTCATGTGATGTTGTTGTTATCACATTCTCCACCAATAAGTTGAACAACATTGATGATAGTCCACTCCCCTTCCATAAGCCCATTAAACTTTGAAGGCTTTTTGAAGTGAAAACTTTTTTAGGCGGGCTTTGCATTTTTTTGTGTGTATTCAGGGCCTTCACATGGATCCGGCACCCCAGGCTAGATGTTTCCGGGTACCTTCCCCACCTCTAAACTAAATATGTAAGTTAAGTGATATGTTCAACGAATGCTGATTTTGTTCATAAACTGGGACAAATTAGAATAAATGGCCCTGCAGCTAGGATATGAGTTTCCTAAGAGAAAAAAAAACAACATAGAATAAAAGTTGTAGGGCAACAAATTCCACATCTACTGAGTAGTAATAGTTTTAATGTAGGTCACTTATTCTGCCTGAAATTGGTAATCTTCCAATGGCTTGAAAGTGCTAATGAAGGTATGTATGATTTTCAACATTTCAACAGTTGTTATTCTTGTTTGGAGTCCACTATGTGTAGCATAGGCCACTTTTCCATCTCTCAGCAGTGATGGATTTTGATTTTGAGGTGTGAAAAGAAACCTAAGTTCATGAAGAAATAACGAATCCAATTCAAGAAATATGATTGACCATTAAAAATCTTGACACTTAGTGAGTGCGGAATTCGATTCTCCTAAACATAATTCAGTATTTCACTTTTTGAAAAATTATCTCTTATATTCAATACTTTATATCAAGGTATGGGTCACTTAGTTTTTTTCTCATTTGTATTTTATTTTTTATTACCTACCATTACATAAATATTTAATTAAATGTATGGCCATATTGTCATTTTTTTTTATTTTGTATTTATAATTTGTTCTACAGGGTCATCAGTCCCAGGATGATAAAATTATATTTCATTTCATTCACAATTTATATACATAGGACAATATAATGTGTAAAATTAAAAAAAAAAAATTCTGTCCAACTTTTTTTTTTTTTTTTTTATTAACGAAATTTACAACTGTAATTAATAATAATACAACAAGTAAATATGAACAAGTAATATGACATGTACAACATGAGGAGAAACTACCCATTGGTAGCACTCCAATTATATTTCTATATTAGAAGGTCCCGAGGCCATCTTATTTTTAGACGCCTCGGAGGGTTATCAGGAATAGAAGAGGAAGCAAGGTTGGAAACGAGAGGGTTCGGATGGTTCAGAAGTTTATTATGAAAGGACAGGTATCTGGATTGAGCTAAATCGGAAACATATGGTACATTAAGGTCATTATGGATGATTTTATTTTTGACAAAGTATGGAGCATTAAGGATTTTACGAAGGATTTTGGATTGTAGGGATTGGATACGAGAGGAATTTGATGGTTTAGTAGAGCCCCCAAGCTCGACCCGTAAGTCCAAATAGGCCTTATTATAGTAATATATATGAGTCTTTTGTAAATAGTTGGCAGTTTAGAGCGTTTGTCTAGTAAGTAGTAGGTAGTTGCTGGAGTAGTCGGAAACGTCGGGCGGTTTCTAGTCGTTTCAGTCTGGTATGGGGGTTCCAAGTGAGTCGTTTGTCAAGGTGGAGTCCTAGGTATCGGATTTGGTCAACAGGGATAAGTGGGATATTGTTAAAGGATACTGTAGGACAGGAAGTCATAGGTTTACGACGAAGAGTAAAGGTAATTTGATGGGATTTATTGGAGTTTATTTTAATCCTCCAGTTTTAACACCATTTTTTAAGACTTATGATGTGTGATTGAAGAGTTTGGGATGCAATAGATGGATCGTTATTGACTGATGGATACATGTGTCATCGGCATATGTGGTGATGACAGTGTTGGAATGGGTTGGGATGTCAGCTGTATAAACTGTATAAAGGATAGGACCAAGGATACTACCTTGAGGAACACCAGCAAACTGAGAAAAAAGAGATGAAAAAGCATTGTTATGATTGACTTTGAAGAATCTGTCAGTAAGGTAGGAACGGATAATGAGGAAGTATGTAGGTGGTAGGAATTTACAGAGTTTGTACATCAGTCTGGGATGTCAGACTCTATCAAACGTCTGTTCAACGTCGAGAAAGACTCTCGTGCAGTACATTCCACGCTCCAATGCAGAGGAGACATCTACCACACGATGGCATTGCTGTATAGTGGAGTGGGATGTGCGGAATCCAAATTGGTGATCTGGGATAATTTGTTTAGAGTCTAGGATAGGATACAGGCATTTTAAGATGAGTTTTTCCAGGATTTTGCCCATAATGGGTAAGAGAGAAATAGTACGGTAAGAGGATGGGTGTTCTGGCGGCTTCGTGGGTTTAGGTATCATTTTGACAATGGATAGTTTCCAAGGGTCAGGGAAATATGTGGTTCCAAGTACAGCGTTATATATATAGGTGAGGAATAGTATGGCTTTTTTAGGAAGCAGTTTTAGGATCTAGGATGTGATTAGGTCATGGCCAGGAGCTTTGCGGGAAGGTAATCTATGAACGATATTGGATATTTCTGAAGGATGAAATGCTTTAGGTGGAGGTGTCAGTTGGAGTGGGATATCCAATTCTGTTTCAATAAACTTAAGGTGGGGAGGATTAAGGATATCTGGGTGTGGATTAAATGTTTTGAAGAGGTGCTGAGCAAATATATGTGATTTTTCTTCATCAGATCTGGAACAGGTTTGGGTTTCAGTAATAAGTGGGTGGTTAAAATCTTTAAATTTAAGGAGCTTTTTAGTGGTAAACCATAATGATTTGTCAGTAGTAGTAAGTTTTTCTGTCATGTTAAGTAAATTTTGAATTTTGTATTTTTTAATTTCAGCTTTTAGTTGGTTAGTTAATTTGTTGTAATATGTCTTATCTGATGGGTATCTGTTCCTGTGCCACTTCGATCTTGCTCTGCGTTTTTCCCTTAATAAGATATGAATATGCTGTGGCAAGTTTGTCTGTTGGAAGTTGTTAATTTTATTGATAGAAGTATTATCGTTTATTTTGTCACTTATAGATGTAGTAAGTACTTCTATGGCTGTGTCAATGTCATGTTTCGTCTTAAGTGGAGTATTTAGGTCCAATTTATTTTCCAGGTCTTTCCGAAATTTGTCCCAGTTTACTCGTCCTGTAATCAGTGTAAGAGGGGACGTGGACTTAGGAGCGAAGGTTGGGTGTAATGAAAGCAGAACTGGAGAATGATCTGAGGAGAGGTCATCCAGTGATTTGATTGTGACATGGGAAGAGAAAATCTGGGAGGTGACAAATATGTCCAGGATATCAGGGCGTTTTCTGAGGGAAGTTGGCCAATAGGTAGGATTCATAGGAGAAAGGACAGAGTAACTATTGGAAGTTGAGAGAGAAGATAGTATGTTACCACGGGAGTTGGATGCTCGACAACCCCATCGTTGGTATTTAGCGTTATAGTCTCCTCCTGCAATAAAGCGCGATCTGAAGGATTGAAATAAGGATTCAAGTAAGTTGTAGGTAAGAGTATGACCAGGAGGACAGTATACAGCTGAGAGTGTTAAATGGAAAGGACGGGTTGAATGATTACTGAAGTTGCTTGAATAGCCTCAGTTGGAGTAGAAGGAATGAAAGAATGGGATAAGGATTTATGGATAAGGATGCAAGAACCGGCATGGGAAGTGTTGTCAGGGTGGTCAGATCTATAAGTGATGTAAGTTGTGTGAAGTGAGTTTCTGTCAGTAGAACAATATCAATGTGGTAGTCATGAAGAAAAATGTCAAGTTCGTCTCGGTGGTTGTGTAGTCCATTAGCATTCCATAAAAGAACAGCTAGGGGCTTTGTACTCATCGTGAGAGATTACAGGGAATTTCGGTAAGGATTCTTGTGAGGAGAGTAATAAGAGGTTTTATAGTATTTTGGAGGTCCAATAGGAAGGATGAAATAATGGCAGTTATATCAGATGGATGTTGGTTGTGAAGTGAATTTAGGGTAGGTTCTTGTGGCGGGTTAGGAGTGTTAATTAAGGGCGGCATCCATCGTTGTATATGAGGAGGGTCTGGAATCAAAGGTGCTTGTGAGGTTTTTGTTTTCTGAACATTAGGTTGAGGTAGCTGAGGGTACTGTGGCAGTAATTTTACTCGTAGGGGTAGATGATGAGGGGGAATTTGCTGACGAAGAGGATGAGATTGAGGATTGGGAGTATGAGGTTTGGATTGGGAGGTCCGAGGCGCCTGACTTCGAGGTTTCTGCTTCTTGATAGTGGTTTGTGTGCAAGTTTTGCTGGAGTCCTGACGAGGATGATAGAAGTCAGTTGAAGTAGACACTTCCTGTTGTGTGACATGAGTAGTTTTTGTCGGCAATTCTGGAAAATTTGAAATATTTCCAATTTCTGGTGGGTCGGTGCAATTTTGTTGATTATGTTGAATGCTTTTTAAGGCCATGTTCCGAGATCGTAGCTTATAGTGATTTTTGTAGACTATGCATCCCTTATAGCTTGCCGGGTGGTCTTCGCCGCAGAGAGCACATTTAGGAGGCTGGTCTAGAGGTTTCTGACATGTGTTAGATGCGTGTAAGCTGGCACATCTTACACACCTGGCCTGATGATGGCAATAGGTCTTTGTGTGCCCGAATTCTTGACACTTAGTGCATTGCACTAATACTGGTTTGTGCCTAGGCTCTTCAAATTTAACTGTTGAATATATAAGCCGGTTAACTTGAAATATCTCGGGGTTGTTATTAGCAGGCTCTAAATCAATGAAGAATAAACGTAATGGATATTTCTGCGTTGGATGTAATACGCATGAAATATGCCTAACATTGTGACCTATTTCTTCCAGGCCAGACTTGATAACGGATATAGGGGTGGTTGAGTGTAGGCCTCTCAAGACCACTCGGTATGCCTTTTCTTGTCTCAACAGATAACAGTGAAAATCGTAGTTTTTAGATGTGAAGTAGTCAATTAGTGTTTTATAATTAACTCTTGAATTTGTGTTAATTTTTATGTCGTTTACTCGGGAATAACAGCAAAAATTGGTCTGTCCTATCAGATCGGCAATTTCTTGACCAAATGTTATGAAATTTTCAATTTTGGAAACAAAAATAGGTGGCGGCTCGGGGTCAGTAGGAGCTTGAGGCTCCGAAGGTTTGATTGGTGAGTTACTAACAGGAACAGCATTATTGCTGGCTGAAGTAGTTGGTGCAGTTGGCAGTGGTTTTGTGGTATTTGTTTTGCTTCTAGTTTTGGGTGGTGATTTATTTTGCTCGGCTGACAATTTAGATTTTGTCGATTTATTTTTTTTGTTACAAAGAAAATTTATAACTATATGCCACCTGAAAGAAGGAAGCGTGGAAGGCCAAAGAGAAAATGGATGGAGGACGTGGAGAAAGGCATTGCAGCCAGAGGGCTTCGTGAGGGAGATTGGATGGACAGGGAGCAGTGGCTTTTGGGTGTTGGGGATATGACTCCTTGAGTTGTATAAAACCCACAAAAAAAACAAAAAACAAAAGAAACAAAACATTTTTGAGAATAAATAAACAAGATAAAAAATAATTAAAACAAAACTGTCTCTGGGAGGAAAAAAAAAAAAAAAAATCTATTAGTCTTTGGTTTCGAACTGAGACCAGCTGACGAGAGAGAGCCAGTATACAGAGCTTGGCCTTGAACTTAACGTATGTAAGATAAGAACTGCAAGGGAATTAACAGCCACTTGGGCTACCCGAACGAGCACCAATTTATTACATGTTCATTGTTAATAAACTGTAACTCACCAGTGTATCTGTGAACGTATAAATGTTCAACTGATTGTAAAGTCACTGTTGATAAAATATTACCACAGGGTTTTTACTATTAATCACATAACAATGTAACAATCACAGAGCGACATGAAAGTTATACTGCAGATGCGGCCATGACACTTGCTACTTCTGTCCAACTTAAACTTCCTTTCTTATTTATAAAATTCATGACTTTTGTTTGTGTATAGATGGATAGATAGAAATGTTTATTTGTTTTAAAGTACATATCATAATTTTTTTTTTTACATCTGATTAAACAAGTTATCGACACTGAACTTATGTTCGTCTGTCAGGGTACTCCCCTGGTTTATACATGGAGATCTTATCTTTTAAGAATTCAATATAAGAAGGTACCAATTGCAGTATTATCTACTTAATTAAAAAAAAATCTTAATTTTAACTAAAAAAATTTTCTAAACATAAAAATATAAATATAACTACATAATATACAAATATAAGTGAACATAAACTTAAATACCTTTTATTCTAAATTATATTCTCTCACCAATTCACATCTATAATTAGTGGATGTTTTTAAATAAAATAAAGATTTCTGTAGTTTGGGCCATTTAAAATTTTTATCGTTTCGATAAAATTTAATTGATGCATACCTAAAAATGCTATTCTGAACTCTTTTAGTATTTGACACACCGATATAAAATGAAAGCTATCTTCCGGTGTATTCATTTTGCACAAAGAACATCTTCCGGTAGATTCATATTGCACAAAGAACAATATCCCCTTTTATCCTGCCACGGCTGGTAATTTAGATTGAAAAGTTTCCTTCTCTCTCTAAAAATTAGCCGAATAAAGTATAAATTGTAATCATTCTGCCTAAAATACCCAGAATCATATTCTAATTTGGCATACATTTTGTGATATTCTGCTGATCTTGCCCTCTTAACGTAATCATTGATTTTTTCTTGCTTTAGTTTTTCATGTAAAATGTCTTTATGTGTTTTCAACTCCTTCACCAGATCTTTTTTGGTGAAAGAAATGTCACATTTTGTTCCAATCCTTTTCAGTGCCCTTATTCATGTTATATTCTTTTCAATGACTAATTTAGCTATGACATGTCGGAGTCATTGGTGATCCATTTCCAATACTTTTATTATATATTCAATGGGCAATTACAAAGTATAAATATATAAATTATCAAATCCCGTTTTGAGATATAGCATGTAGTTAGGAGTATTATCTGGGAGCCCAATCATCTTTTTTGGAAAATACCTCAATTCAATTTTTCAATCTCCTCAAACTCTTAGTAGGCCCAAAACTGTGCTCCATAACATATCGTAGCTGGAGTTGAAGATTACTATCTTTTGTTTATCAGATACCCGCTTATTTAATATAATTTTTGACCACATCACATTAAGTGCATTTCTAGTTATTCGAAGCTTTTCCCTAATATGATCTGACAAAGATAAATTTTCTTTTATAGTAACCCCCAAGTACTTATAATTTGCTACTATGTCTATTGGGTTCCCATTATTTGTCTATTTTGATTTCCTACCAGTTTTCCATTTTCTTTTTCGACATATTATTATTATGTTTGATTTTTCAAGGTTGATTTCCACATTGACTCCACATTTTGCAATAGTTCTGTAATCTATTTATCTTTAATTAGATATATGGCCATATTGTCATGTTTTATTTATAATTTATTCTACAAGATGATGAAATTATATTTCATTTCATTTACAATTTACATACATAGGCCAAAATCTAATGAGTAAAAAAAAAATTTCTGTTCAACTTAAACTTCCTTTTTTATTTATAAAATTCATGACTTTTATTTGTATATATTTGGAACTTTTAATTTCAATAAGTTAAAAAAAAAAATGTTTTTGCCTAAATTTACCATAAAGCTTTGAGAATGTTTGTTACTGTTTATTTTTTTCAATAGTGCATTTTTTAATTAAAAAAAAAAAGAAGATGAAAATAATTTATTGATGAATTGTCCATAAGAATTGTTTCATAACAATGATTGAATCATTATGAATCAATTCAGTTAAAAGAATTGAATTTCCTATCTCTAGTCTCAATGTGGCCTGGACTTGGTCTAGCCTACTCGATTTGGTGGAAGTCTCAATGTGGCCCGTGGACCAAAAAGTTTGGAGACGAGACCCCTGCTCTAGACTGTCGGAAATCAAACAAGAAGAGCAGGGGTATTACTGATGAGCTGCATGCCTTTTCTTATAGTATAGTTTGTTGAGACATTAATGAACAAATTCTGGATAGCCAAAACTGTTTTGTTAAGCATTTTCTTAAATCTAAACAAATTCAAAATTATAAAGATAGTCTTATAATAACCTTTAACTGCATAGGATTCTGCAACTATCCTTAAGCTTCTGCTTGGAAGAGACTTCTCAGTCAAAGAATGTAAATCAGCATCCATATAATGCTTTAAAGATTCCTCATAATGACCCATCGCATAATGTAGTTTACCCAAAAGAAGATGAGCATCTAAAGAAACACCAGCCTGAAAAGCGAATTAAATTAAAATAAATCTATAAAATTAAACATTATTCTCAAAAATTTGCAATTTAAGAATAAAATTAGCCATTAGTCTCAGGTTTTTCTGGGGCTATTAATCCAGTTTAAAGGGCACTAGAGTCACCTTCTCTGAGCTCAACTGGATAACTCTCAGCAGACGGGTCCTAGTCCTGGGAATGGTAACATTATATGTCCTGTAATGGCTAAGTTCTGCTGGGGAGCCCATGTTAGAGGGTATAGCTCGGCCACCCTTTCTTCTGAGGGGATTCAAATATTCGGAAGACCAGTTTTCCCGAGGATACTGTACCTCCATCGTTGGGCTAATAACCCACATGGTAATAAATTTTATTTAAAGTAAAAATACTAGCCTCGGAAGTGGACTGATCTCGCGGAAACGACCTGGCACTCATAAGGACTTAAGATATAGCACCTGGAACACAAAGACTTTGACAGGGAAAGAGGTGGAGCTTGTTGAAGAAATGAAGAGTTATAAGGTGGATTTACTCAGTATTAGTCAGGTAAGGAAGAAAGGAACTGGTGAACTGAAGCTGGAGAGCGAATATGCCTTATATAGCATTTCCAAGTCAATTTCAACCTTTTCCAAGTCAAATTCAACCTTTTCCAAATCAAATTAAACTTTTTCTAAGTCAAATTCAAGCTTTTCCATTTCAAATTAAACCTTTTCCATTTCAAATTCAACCTTTTTTTATTTATTTAATTATCTTTAATTTTTCGATGTGCGGGTCTGTTATCATATGAGTAATTTTTGAAAATAACCTCCATTTTAAGATAACGTGACTGCGGTTCGAATTATTTAAGTTTTTTTGATTTATTCGATATAAGGGTGTATTTTTATGTTTCCCGATCCGCAAATTTTGAAAATGACATCCATTTTGAAATTACGCCACTGCATTTCGACTTATTCAAGTTTTTTTTATTTAATCGGTGTAAGGGTGTATTCTTATGTTTCCGGAGCTGTAGATTTTGAAAATGACCTCCATTTTATGATTACGCCGCTGCGTTTTGACTTATTTAAGTTTTTCGAATTTATCCAACATAAAGGTCTACTTTTATGCTTCTTGAACAGTAGATTCTGAAAATGACCTCTATTTTATGATTACGCCACTGTGTTTCAACTTATTTAAGTTTTTCGAATTTATCAAATATAAAGGTCTACTTATATGTTTCTGGAGCAGTAGATTTCCCACGTTTTGTAAATGACCCCATTTCAAGTTAATGCCACTGTATTTTGGATTATAAAAGTGTTTTTTTTTTTACTTTTTCGGTATAAGGATCTACTTATATGTTATCGGAGACGTATTGAAATTTTTCTAATCTTTAATATTTAAATTTATCTAATATTTAATCTCCATTTTATGATTAAGCCTCTCGATTAATTAGGCTTCATTTTGGATTTTTTCAATACAAAGTTTCATCAATATGTTAAAAACACTTAAAAAAACCGAAACATGTCTAATCTTAAAATGTAAGTCGTTTTAAAAACTAAGGCTCCGGCATCATAAAAGTCATAAAAACCTTTAAATTGGATAAATTCGAAAAACTTGAATAAGTCGAAACGCAGTGGCGTAATCTTAAAATGGAGGTGATTTTCAAAATCTATCACTCCGGAAACATAAGAATACACTCTTTTATGATAAAAATTCGAAACACTTAAAGAAATCGAAACGCGGTGGCCTAATCTTAAAATGGAGGCCGTTTTCAAAATCTACGGCTCCGGAAACATAAGAATGCACGCTTTTATGAAACAAATCCGAAACGCGGTGGCCTAATCTTAAAATGGAGGTCGTTTTCAAAATCTACGGCTCCGGGAACATAAGAATACACCCTTATATAAAAAAAATCCGAAAAACTTAAATAAGTCGAAACACTGTGGCGTAATCTTAAAATGGAGGTCATTTTCAAAATCTACGACTCCGAAAACATAAGAATACGACCTTTTATGAAAAAAATTCAAAACACTTAAAGAAATCGAAACGCGGGGGCCTAATCATAAAATAGAGTTCGTTTTCAAAATCTACGGCTCCGGAAACATAAAAGTAGACCTTTATATTGGATAAATTCAAAAAACTTAAATAAGTCAAAACGCTGTGGCCTGATCATAAAATGGAGCTTATTTTCATAATTTACGGCTCGGAAAATATAAGAATACACCCTTGTATCGAAAAAATAAAAAAAAAAATTAAATAAGTCGAAACGCAATGGCGTAATCTTAAAATGGAGGTTATTTTAAAAACTAGGTACAGGACAGCATAATATTAGTCCCTAATAAATCCGAATGGGTACAATAAATCGATATCCGTAAGTGAAAATTCTACTAAGGAGAGCATAATAATAGACTTTCATATTGGAGGGGGGGGGGAGGGGATGGCCATTATTTTAAAAAATATATAAAATTTACAAAAAATTAAAACATTAATTTGAAATGAAAACGGTTGAATTTGAATTGCAAAAGGTTTAATTTGAAATGGAAATGGTTGAATTTGACTTGGAAAAAGTTTAATTTGATCTGGAAAAGGTTGAATTTGACTTGGAAATAATTGAATATGGCATAGAAATATTACACTGAAAAAATCTAAAATGTTAAAATAAATGGATATGCAACCGCTATCAAAACTTTTTTTGTATTTTTCAAAAGCTATGCCTTCGATAATATAGTTAGTGGCCTTCATTTTGAAATAAATCAAAAATTGGAAAGTTGAATTTGAAATGGAAAAGGTTGAATTTGAAATGGAAAAGCTTTAATTTGACTTGGAAAAGGTTGAATTTGATTTGGAAAAGGTTGAAATTGACTTGGAAAGGCTATATATGCTGGAGTCCCTTAAGGAACTTTTGTGAACGAAGGAGTAGGTATAGCCATGAACCCAAAAATGTACAACCAACTAGAAGACTTGGAGCCTGTGTCCTTAAGAATAATTGCAGCCGATTTTTCTTGGGCCGTTGGTAAGGTTACTTAGGTGCAAGCATATACACCAACAGAGGATGCAGGAATCATGGACAAAGAAGCCTTCTACTCGGACTTGCAAGGAGTACTGAATAAAATAAAGAATAAAGGATGATTGGTAATACTCAGTGGAGACTTTAATGCAAGAACGGCATGTGATCCAACTGTTGCTTACAGTAAGTACCCTTGAAATCCATTGAGGAAAAATGGTAAGGAATGGAAATGGACTAAGCCTTATTGATTTCTGAGTGGATAATGACATGCTTTTGGGCAACTCTTTCTTTACCCACTAAAGGATATACAAAATAACCTTCTCGAGCCTGGAAAGAAACAATATTAAAGACTATGTCATATATGACTGTGGAATAAGACAGTATTTTGCCGACATTAAAGTGATAAGAGGCACAGAAATTGGCAGCAATCATCTGTTATTAATAGCAGATACTAAAATTCCGCAGATATGACCCATTAAAGAAAAGAGCTAACGAACATTAAATATACGAGCTCTAGACGATCCCGTAAAGAGAATCTCCTAAACTGCAAAACTGGAAAGTATATTAAGGGCATTGAGTCTGGAGGATTATGTAGAACATCAGTGGTGTTGTTTCAAGACCTGTACCTTGGAAGTGGCAAGAGAAGTTTGTGGTTTGCATAAAATAGCAAGCAAACAGAAACACACCGAATGGTGGAATGAAGAAGTGCGCCATGCCGTCCAATTAAAGAAGGCACGGAAAGACTACCTTCAAGACACAACAGCCGAAAAACGGAACCAATACCATATGGTCAGAAATCAATGTAAAGGAGTAATCGGTCAAGCAAAAAGTGCTGCATGGGAGAAGTTTGGAAAAAGCCATGATGAAGACCACCGTGAAAGTATTAAAAAATTCTGGTGTAAAGTAAAAACCTTGAGACGGAAAAGAAGTAAGCCAGTGAGAAATATTTAAAGACTCAAACTGCAAGATGATAACAGAAGAGGTAAAAATTCTTGAGCGGTGGAGGAAGTTTAATCGAGGACACTTCTCAGAAGGGCCTAATGAACCAGGAGAACTTGCTGCAGAAAATTATAGTCTGGATAATTCCAATGCCATTGAGGAAGATGACGTAGTATGCCATTAAAAAAATTAAAATAGGTAAAACAGCAGGAGGGGACATTATAGCTCCAGAATTATTGAAATTTGGAGGTCAACAGCTTATTAAATTTCTCCAGCAACACCTCCAAAAACTATGGGAAACGAAGATCATTCCAAGAGATTGGGAGTACAGTATCATCATTCCTATTAGCAAGAAAGGTAGCTTCACTGACTGTGAAAATTACAGCTCAATAAGCTACTTTCAGTGGCTTACAAACTATACACCTCAATCCCAAAAAGAGACTAAGGATCACAGTCAAGAACCAAATAGAACAAGAACAGGCAGGCTTTCATCCAGGGAGGCAGAATCAAGACCACATCTTCATACTGAGAAACATCGCAGAGAAAGCTTGGGACAGAGATAAGAACATATATTTATATGGCATTCCTGGATCTCAAAGCAGCGTTCCACTTCATCCCCAGAAAAGAAATATGGGATGCTTTGAAAGCAAAAAATGTTTCATATCTTATCATAGCTATTACATTGGTTTATCAGGAAGCGAAAGGAGTTATGATGATTAATGGAAGAGAGTTCAAGCCTTTTCCCACAGAAAGAGGTGTGAGACAAAGAGACAGCCTCAGTCCCCTCTTATTCATAATATTTATGGATGAAATCCATAAAATTTGTAAGCACCGTACTGCTTGGACAGTCATCGGTAAATGGAACATGAGGAATGTTATGGTTCAAAGTTTATTGTATGTCGATGATATCGTAATGATAGCAGATACGAAAGACAAGCTGTAACAAGCTCTAGTGGAATGGCAGAAGAACTCCTCCACAAAGGAATGGCTATCAACAACTCTAAGAGCAACATCTTAATTTTTTCAAGAGAGAGAGAGGAACAAGAAGATGTCCAGCTGATCTGTATATTTGGGGACAGTCATTAGCAGTATGGGAAAGATTGGCCCAGAAGCCGCAAATAGGACTTGCAAATCCAACGAACTTTATTTATTACCCTATCAGTAACACCATAGTGGGACACAGAGACGTTAGTAATGAAACAAAAAAGCAAATATTCAAGTCTGTATACCTACCAATCCTGAATTACAGAAGTGAAAGTTGGGTTATGCTGGACAAACAGTCCAGCCAGGTAACAAGTGCTCAGATGAAGTTCCTGCAGAGGACCATTGATAAGACCAAAAGGGATCGTTTCAGAAATGAACGAATACGGGAGGAGCAGGAGGTGGTGGAGCTTAAGTCTATACTTGAAAATCAACAACTGAACTGGTTTGTTTGACCACATTTGTCAAATAGATTATGAAAGAGAACCTAGGAAAGTGATGGAAGCTCGACCCACTGGGAGGAAACCGCGAGGCCATCCCAGAATTTCCTACCAGAAGTACATGCAGTGGATTCCTCTCTTCAGTGCTCCCACATTGAAGAGAGGAAAAACTCTCCAAGAGATGAGGCAGATTGGCCGGGACCGAAAGGCATGGCTGCGTTGGATCGAGGATCCTTGACGCTAGAAATGACATCAGAGGTATACAAAGAAGAAGAAGAAAATAAATTACAAAGTTGAACTGTAGTAATTAACAATAAAAAGAACACTTAAAAATTAATGAAATGAAAAATAATTTTATTCTGGGACTAAAGTCTTCTTAGAATAATAGTAGAGTTAAAAAAATATGCACATTAGTCTGGCATGTAGATATCAGAGATCGACCGATACCGATATTAATATCGGCATATTGGACGTTTGACCGATTATCGGCATCAGCCAATATGCCGATATATTGGCCTTTTTTTTTTTCTAATCCTCTCTCCTGATTTACAGTATGTACTGATATCCTTAAGGCCGATATATTGGCCTTGTGATCTTTTTTAATCAAGATTATTAGAATTTGATCGTTTTGTATATTTTTTTATGTATTTATTTGGTCCTACTCCTCCATAAGTTGAGCTGACATTCCAAAGAAAAAACCGATATATCGGCCTTATGACCTTATTTTATTGAGATTGGTACACTTTGAAACAAATTTATTTAATTTTTTTTCTGGTTCCCCTTACCCTGATTTGAGCAGAATTTGATATTCCTATAAGCAATACATCGGTCTCATGACCTTATTTTATCAAAATTAGTAAATTTTGATTTTTTTAAATTTATTTATTTTCTTTTGTCCACCACTACCAAGTTTTTCTGTCATCCTCTTGAACCGATATAACAGCCTTACGACCCTATTTAACCGAGATTCTAAGAATTTCACTTTGAATATTATTTGTATTGCTAATAAATATGCAAATCAATCGTCAACGGGTCTGCATAATCATAATTAACTGATATATCGACTTTTTAAACTTATTTTACTAAGATTGGTAAAGTTAGGTAAATTTTATTTTTCTTGCACTCTCCTTCCACTAATTTGGGCAAATACCAATATTCCAAATATATCAGCCTCACTACCTTATTTTATCTCGATTAGTAGTTTAATTTCTTCTTTTTTATCTATTTCATTTTTTTTGTGAACCACTGAAAAATATTCTGGCCATTCTTTTAAACCAATATATCACGTTTTTCCACATTGAATATTTTTTTATTGCTAATAAATGCGCAAATCACTCGTCAATGCGTCTGCATAAGCATAAATTTGAGCAAAGGCCAATATATCAGCCTTAAGAACTAATTTAATCGAGATTCTAAGAATTGCACCTTGAATAATATTTTTTATTGCTGATAAATTCGTCAATCAATTTTAACAAGATGAACATAAACATAAATATAAATAAGAGTAAAGAGCGATATATCGAAATTATGAACTTATTTAATCAAGATTATTAGAGTTTAAGTTTTGTCACACTTATGTATATATCGATTTCATGGCGATAGATTGGCCAATTTATTATTAGCATAAATAATATTCCATGTGAAACTCTATTAATTATGATAAAATAAGGTTAAAAGACTGATATATCGGTCTATGGAATGGACCGAAAAACATTGGGAATGAGACAAGCTCAAAATTAAATATACATATATATACATATTTAATATATATATATGGGACTGGGGTAGCCATATGGGCTAAGGCACTTGCAATAGGTAATCAATGTTAAGCAACGTCGAGTAATTGGATGGGTGACCGCCCACCACGGAAGGACACACTGCCCGAGATTCCTCCACCACCTCGGGTATGTGAGACCCGTCAGCCTACTACAGCAGGGAGGTGAGAGACCCTGTGGCAGACATAGCTCATGGTCCTCCAGGTTAGGGGTTGGGCATAGGGCTAATAACCCTACCCCGTCAAAAACTCTATATTAGGAAACCAAAAACCAGCTTCGGAAAATCTTAACATGGCAACGACTCCGGCTTTGTATAACGGACTCCATATCGGATCATGGAATGTTCAGAGCTTATACAGACCAGGAGCCGCCCAAATCGTAGTTAATGAAGTAAAAAGGTACAGAATACTGTTAACAGCCATTCAAGAGGTAAGGTGGCCAGATGGTGGGAAAACCACTATAGACAGCTACACATTGTTTTACACCAGGAGAAAGGACAAAAATGGGACAGCTGGCACTGGATTTATAGTTAATCAGGCCACATGGAAGTCAGTAATAAACTTCACCCCAATTAATGAAAGAATAAGTGTGCTGAATAAGTCTGCACGTAAGAGGTCATTGGGTAATATTACGATTATTAATGTGTATGCACCAACCGAAGAACTTAACTTAATTTTTAAAAAAATAAACCTGGACCAGTTATGTTGGAGATCCCTGTAACCAAAATAGTATAACTCATGTCAACAAACATACAAGTAAAAAAAAAATATTACCGACTTACTTTAACGCCTTGTTCTCCTGCAGCTATCAGAAGACTTTTTTTGGCTTCTATGAGACCTGCCTTAGCTTTACTAATATTACATTCTAATGGTGGATATTCCTCCAAGAAAATCTCTAACTTTCCTTCACCCAATAAGAAATTACATAATGGTCCTTAAAGAAATGACAAAAAAAAAATTAATATATAATTCACATAAGTAATTTTAATAAGATTCAGAAATTAAAACCATAAATTTTTTTGAGGAAGAATATAGTCCGGGGTAGTGGTCACAAAAATTTTAAAATTGTCACTATTTTAGGTTTTTTTATTACTGCAATTCCGGACTATCTCCTTTCTCAATATTATATAATGGGCAATACTCATTAAATGTTTTTATTATTTTTTTATGTACATTTATTGTTTAATATGCTTAACTATATGAAACTAAGATAATGTGAAGAGTTTCACATTTAATAATTTTTTATGGGCTTAGACTCATTACTTTACTCCTAGTTGATGAAATTCCATTCTTCTAATCCTTGTTCTTTTTTAAATATGAATTTATATAAACAGTCTACTGTCATTTTAGGCAACTTTTGAATATGAATATCATAAAAGGGATTGAGTGAAACATTAGTCGATCTCTTCACAATAAGTACTTCACAAGGAATAAGTATGGCAAGTTTCTGCTGGCCCATGACTGTATGGGGACCTTGGAAAATTTTGATGAGGGCAGATGGAGCGGAATAGTCAGGCCGGAAACCAGACTGGAGAGAGGAAAGTTTAGGAGATTATTACTTTCACTTATCTATATATCAAATATACAGAAAGAGAAAGTATTGCAATCATGAAAATTATCGAATCCTAATTTAGAGTTAATTCATGTTATCTAGCAGCACTGCACCTGTTGTAAACAAAGCAGGTAGGCTTATGTGAGATTACCCACACAGTAGGAGTCCTTTGTTCCTGATATTGTGATGTTTCTGTAGAGGAATAAAAGTGTCATTTCTTGGCATCACACTTAAATTTCAAGAGAAACACACTTTTTGAGGTCCTCGGAATCCAAATAACCAAGTCTTACAAAGTGGTCTGTGTGTGAATATGTGAACAGTCTAGCTCAAAAATGAAAAGTATTATAAAACTTAAATTGGGTATTTAAGTTTATTATATGCCTGGGGTCTTATAACAACTTTTTCATCATAATGGGCAAACCGGAAGTTGCACTTCATATCATCGATTTATCACATTTTTACAATTTTCTCAAAACGGCTAACGATTTTGATTAAACTCGGTGTATCAATGCATAATTAAGTAATCTTTAATATCATTTAGGTCTTATCCCTATTAATGTCACTTAACAGGACTTGCCCAATGCCCAATGTTCAAAATGTCATCCTCTAAAGTACGTTTGATCTCGTTTATTTTAAACAATTAACAATCTCACATTAGAAATTATGAAAAAAGTTAAATATAACTTTTGAAAGACTTTGATAATTGAATAAAATAGAAAAAAAGAAGAATACTATCCAGTTCGAAAATGAATCTCGGGAAATAATAGTCTGAAGGTATATTTCGTTGGAATATAATATATCAACTTATAATAAATAATCAATTCCTGGTACCTTATTATTTTTTAGTTTGTAATTTCTATAATTATATTTATTCACATTTGCCGACATTACAGCCCGAAGTTCAGGCCTTCATCAGAGCTAATAAAAGTACCAGATAACAATAGATATGAGAAACTATGAACATTGAATAATAAAGAATTAAAATTAAAAAAGGTGAAAGGACTAGGCTAAAAAATTTAGGTAGAAAAAACTTAAAGTGAAATGACATAGATAGAGTGAACAATGAAGTAGGTAGAATAATAACAGTAACAGAGAACTAAGAAATAAATAATAATAACGGCAACAAAGCACGGACCAATGAAATAAACAATCAAAATAAGATAACATAAGAAATTAAAGATTACCATTACCAAGATTAAGATTACCATTTTTCATTCTTATGTTATCTTAGTTAAAGGTCTACTTTTATGATGCCGGAGCCTTAGTTTTTAAAACGACTTACATTTTAAGATTAGGCCACTGTGTTTCGGTTTTTTTAAGTGTTTTTGATTTTTCCTTCGAATAAAAAACAAAATACGAAGGATTAATTTATTTTTCAATAAATAAATAAAAATATCTAATCAAAATAAATAAAATATGTATTGTCTCATTTTTAATTGAATTTTAGTTAACTTTTTTAATGTTGTGGTCTCCTGTAACAAAATTATAAGATTTCGAACAATTAGCTGAAAAATCTGAAAACAGTAGGTTAAATTTATTACCAGTTGCTTTTCGGCTTTTTAGTTTGTATTCTGTGGTTAATTTAACTTTAGCTTCATAATATTTATTTATTTATTTATTCATACTCGAAAACATATTGATGAAACTTTGTATTGAAAAAATCCAAAATGAAGCCTAATTAATCGAGATGCAGGCGGCTTAATCATAAAATAGAGATTAAAGATTAGAAAAATTTCAATACGTCTCCGATAACATATAAGTAGATCTTATACCGAAAAAGTAAAAAAAAAACTTTTATAATCCAAAACACAGTGGCATAAACTTGAAATGGGGTCATTTACAAAATAGGGGAAATCTACTGCTCCAGAAACATAAAAGTAGACCTTTACATTTGATCAATTCGAAAAACTAAAATAAGTTGAAACGCAGAGGCGTAATCAATCATAAAATAGAGGTCATTTTTAGAATCTACGGTTCCGAAAACATAAAAGTAGACCTTTAAATTGGATAAATTCGAAAAACTTAAATAAGTCAAAATGCAATGGCGTAATCATGAAATGGAGGTCATTTTCAAAATCTACGGCGCTGGAAACATAAAAGTAGACCTTTAAATTGGATAAATTTGAAAAACTTAAATAAGTTAACACGCAGAGGAGTAATCATAAAATGGAGGTCATTTTCCAAATCTACGGAAGAAACATAAAAATAGACCATTATATTGGATAAATTCGAAAAACTTAAATAAGTCAAAACGCAGCGGCGTAATCATAAAATGGAGGTCATTTTCAAAATCTACAGCTCCGGAAACATAACAATAGACCCTTACATCGAATAAACCAAAAAAACTTAAATAAGTCGAAACGCAGTGGCGTAATCTTAAAATGGAAGTCGTTTTCATAATCTACGGCTCCGGAAACATAAAAGTAGACCTTTATATTGGATAAATTCTAAAAACTTAAATAAGTCAAAACACAGTGGCGTAAACATAAAATGGATGTCATTTTCAAAATTTACGGATCGGGAAACAAAAATACACCCTTACATCGAATAAATAAAAAAAAACTTAAATAATTCGAAACGCAGTCAGGTAATCTTAAAATGGAGGTTATTTTCAAAAATTACTCATACGATAACAGACCCACACATCGAAAAATTAAAGATAATTAAATAAATAAAAAAAGGTTGAATTTGAAATGGAAAAGGTTGAATTTGACTTGGAAAAAGTTTAATTTGATTTGGAAAAGGTTGAATTTGACTTGGAAAAGTTTGAAATTGACTAGGAAATGCTATATATATTTCGGTAAAACCAATACAAAATAATCTCGGAAATTTATAGAAAAAAAAAGATATTGGAATGTTAAAATCCCAAAAGTAGAAAATTATAACCTATACATAGCAAGTAACATAATCATATGAACACAGATAAAAAGATATTATTAGTTAAATTAACCCCTAATTCCATATATGTGGTGATGAATGATCCAAAGGGAGTCCAGAATAATACTCTCCAACCAACACTACATCCCTGATGACTAAAATCTCAATGATCAAATTCATATCACACATTCCTATCATTAAGAGGTATAATTTGTATCAATTTCATAATTTTCCACTCAGTCCCTTTCGTGATATATGACATAAAAATCGCCGAAAAGAACTTTAGAGCGTTTTTGAAAATTCATATTTAAAAAAGCAAGGTTTTAAAGATTGAAATATATTAGCAAGAAGTACAGTGGTAGGACTACATATGTTGAAAAAAATCAAGTTGAGACTCTTTTCTGTATTACACTTTGGAGCCCTAAAAGTCACCTTTTTTTTTTTTTTATGTATTAATAATTTTTTTTAACTACTCTCCTTTCTTTTTAGGTGATGTATTGATCAACAGAAATGTAGAAAAAAAAAAAAAAAATTTTTAGCTACGATTTTGAACTCTCAAGTAAATGTGGAATAACTGGTAAAAAAGTTATAAAAATCAAAAATGTGGAGCAACAAAATTAATTCAAATTGGGTGATTTCAAATGGATTGACCCAGGCATATTAAAATAAGGTAAAATTATTTAGGAGACAGGTACTTATCAGATAAACTAAATTTTGGAGATAAAGCGGTGGGAGAAATTTGAACCACATAAAGTGGTGAAAATTTCAGCAGAAATATTTAGCATTGATAATTTAAAATCATCGAGTGACTCCTTTCTTTAACACTTTAACATAAATTTAACCTAAAATGAGATGTATAAGCCGATGCAGAGAAACGAATCTTGTTTATAAGTTCTGGTTGAACTAATTTATTTTTTTAAATGTGTCTAGAAAACGAAAAAATATATTTCGGATTTTGGGGTAGAAGAATTACAAAAAAATTTAAGAAAATGGCAAAGCAATAAGTAATGAAAACAATGTAATCTTTCTGAATACTCGATAGTTGATTTTTAGAATGCATTAAAATTTCATTTAAGAGTGACTGGCTATAACCATATGTCAGATCAAATGAACAACTTTACTCACAAATGTTAATAATAATAATGTAATATTAACATTACTCACATGATTTATCAAAGAATGTCTAGCTTTCAGAAAATTTTGGTCAAATAAAGAAGCTTTGTCTGTGGATGCAATTTTACCAAACAAAATATTAATACAGTTTGATAAGAAATAAATTAGGATAAAAGAATACTTCTATATTTAAGAGAGCCAGAACAAGTTCAGAAATTGATGTAGTCGAAATGGGGATGCGATAGATCCATTATACATGATCACGAATTAAAATGTGTATGTTCTTCAGACGACGCTGTAAAAGATTTTTTTATAATTTTATATTATATTTACTTTTGCATATATATATATATAATCCCTTTTAGTTCTTATTTATACCTGCAAAGATAATATACTTAAGTTACAACCAAAAAAGATGTAATTCTACAATTAAAAAAAAAAAAGGTATACAAAATGTTATTTATATTTTTAATGAATCTTTTGTAGAATATTATGAATACTTTCGTAGAATACTTTTAAAACTTTAATATAAATACACAAACAAATATTTAACAATAAGTTTTTTTGACTTGTATGAATAATTAAGATTTTTTTAAAAATATTTTAGGGAAGCCCTTGAATTATCATGAAAGATTGGTCACACGAACATGTTACAGATATCATTTATTTATTTATTCTTCCCTTCCTTGCCTTTCAGCTACACAGGATTTTGCAGGGATGGCATATCACACACGTGCATGCCATTCCTGCTATTAAACCACAAATTCAATTTTGTTTTTTTTGTTCAAAAACTCTTCTTTTTTCATTATTTTCTTTTCACCGAGTTATTAGTCGGGCGGCCTTCCATTAGCAGGTCCTCTTCTTCCCAGATTAAAGTGGGAGGGCCCAGGAGGTGACGTTACAGATATCAATCGATTCGGCACAAAAAGAGATGTAAAAATCAACCATCAACTGTTACCTATCTCATATTGTTTATCTTTTATGGAGTTTTGTTCCAAAAAAGATGCTTTCGGTCCACTGTGTGAAGGTCTGATTGAGCCATTATTTAAAGGTATAGGAGTCCAAATCAATTGCAGCAGCTACTGAGGTATATCCTTGCTCAGCACAGCTTATAAGGTATTCTCAATTGCACTCTATATCAGAATATTGCTGCATGTAGGAAAAGGAATGAGTGAATGTCAGGGATGTTTTCGATATAAGAGACCATAGATTAAATTTTATTGCGAAACTGACATGCGAAAAACTGAAACAATTTAATCAGACAATTTGGATGGTATCCATTGATTTTAAGGATGCATATTATACAGTCATACACTGTTTGGGGAGTGGGCTGGCTCAGTTGTAGGGTGCTAACTTCCAATGCTCAAGGTCCCAGGTTCAATTCTAGCTGATGACAGATAAATTATTATTTCTGTTTCATCAGCCATGGATCGACTCCTGGGTCAGGAGCCCCTTCTGCGGCACATTGAGGGGAAAACCTGTCGATTGAGCATGACCTTGGTCAAATTACCTCCTTGCACAACCATTGACCAAGAAAACAGTACTTACTAACTACTTAGTACTGAACCCAAGAGCCTTCATGGGTTGCAGTGGTACAGGTTGTTTTTATTATTATTATTTTATTTTTTTATGATACTGTCATATAGAGAAAACTATACAAAGGAATGGCTTGAATGGGGATTCCTTCCAAATTAATTAGATTGGCAAGATCCACAATATTAAATATGAAGTGCAAAGTAAAGAGTGGTGGAAATATCTCAGACGCTTTCGATATTGGCTCAGGGAGGGATATTCACTGGTCCCTCTCCTCTTTAAAATAGTTCTCTATGTCATCATAAAGAGAGCTGAACTAGATAGCGGCAGAGAAATATTTTTAAAAAACACACAGTTTCTTGCTAAGGCAGATGATACGGCTATTGTCAGAGGGTTAAATTGTGTGTCCAACGAGTACTTAAACATAAAAATTTGGTTAAGTGGTAAGGTTGATAACCACAGTCAATGAATACTGATTTTAACCAAATTGGTTTTAAGCTGAAACAAATCACAATAAATGGTGCTCAGTAGCTTTGAAACAAGTTCCCTAAAAGGAAAAATTCATAGAATCAAAGTTGTAGAGCATCAAATTCTGTGTCCACTGAGTACCAACAGTTTTAATGTAGGCCACTTACTCCGCACAAAATCGGTAATCTCCTGATGGCTGAAAATCGGTAAAAAGTTTTTCCTTGGTTAATTTCCTACGTTAGAAATTTTGGTTACACATGTTTCAACCTATAAAAACAACTTTAAAAAATAACTTTTATTTGTTTTGCAATATATTTCTCGTTTTGATCCTCAAGTTACTGACCTAATATTCTTTAAAACAGACGCCCTTTTTGAAAGAAAGAGCTCTGGAATGGCAGATTAGGTTAATTTTCCTTATAATCCACTTTCGTAATTTAAATTCAAACCTTCGCCTGCAATCAGACCAATTTTTGGACCGTGGCACCAGGGTCTAATACTGAGAAGTAGGCTGACCAGTAATACTAATAAATTCAGGATATACAAAACATGAATAAGACCAGTCTGCTAACCTATGTCAGCAAAACCTGGATTAAAAATACATAACCCATCTGAAGTCTGGATATAAAAAGACCAGTGACTTATTGGACTAGTCTAGAGAAGGATACTGAGGAACATCCTGGGACCAGTTTGTGAAAATTGAATATGGCAGTTAAGGAAAAACAGAGATCTGTATAATAAATACAAGGACCTGACTATCTCGGCCAGCATCAAAATACAGAGGTTGAAGTGGTGTGGTTATTTAATGAGAATGGATGAAAACATAATGCCAAAAAAACTTTATGAGAGTTCACCAGATCGAAAGAGAAGTAAAGGGAGACCCAAGGGCTGCTGGAGAGATAATGTACTTTAAGACATACAACAGTTGAAGGTGAACAAATTCCATATAATAGATAGAGAAAATTGGAAGGCAGAAGATGAAAACGCCAGGGACGGCTATATGCACCTGTTGAGTTAAGAAAAGAAGATATATTTCTTTAAGTATTTTTTATATTTATTTTATTGAAAATCATGCCTTTTTTTTACTCAATTATGTTTTCCAATTTCAAGTTGGAGGTATAGGCATTTTTGTCCATGATAGTTTGAGGGTAAAAATCCTTCACAAATCCTCATATCCAGATATTCCAAATTTCTGAAGAATAAGTAATATCCAAGATAAATAGACAATACACCTAAATATCAAAGGTAAAAACGCTAGGCAAATTTTTTTTTAATGAGTGAATTTTGAGAGTGGATATTTCAGAAACTATACAAGATATTGAAAAAAATGAATACTGTTGCGAATTGTATCAGCTTTAAATAGGTATAGAATGACCTTCTTGCCAGGATACCTAGTTTCCCAAATATAAGCAAAAACGAAAAAAAAAGAAAAAAAAAAGTGACATGGATGCCTGCTACATCTCAGCTGGGAGTGGAGACTTTTAGTATATTTGCCTCCTAACTAGGTCCAAACAAAGTTCCAAGACTAAAATTGTGTTCCTTGTATTTTCCTATATAATCGTTCATTGACTAGATCCTTAAACCCTTTAACAATGAGTCATATATGAGTCGAAGAATGCTAAACCCTTCCTGCTTATCGTCGCTAAGGGTTAACTGATGATGAAGTTTGTGCATACATACTGAAAACCTTACGAAGCATTGTAAAATGTTAGAATCCCTTCCAAAGAAGATGATTCCTGGACCTTGAGGGATTGAGAAAAATCAAAAATCTTCACCAAATACCATCTTTTTTAATACTACACAAAGAATGCATAATTATTGAAAACTATAGAAACATATTCAACACTGGATACACCCCTGCAATTAAGATTTCTTCCTTTCTTCATTCTTTCTCAATTTGCTTTGATACAAATAAAAAACCTACCTAAAAGAAAGTTCCTGGTCATGACTTGATTAACTGTGAAGTGTTCCAGCATGATAATAAAAAATAGCTTTCCTAAAGTTGATTTCTAAAGAAAACAACAAGTGATGAAGAAAATACAAATATCAAACACTCTAGTAGAGCAAAGAAACAATTTATGTTATTAGAACAAATAAATCTCCAACACTGCAACGGCAGTAGGAAGGGGCTTGACAAAGTAAGTAAGCAAGAACAAATAAATACAGGAATTTGATTCCACAATTTTTTTTAAAATTGATACTATCCCACTGGTAGAGTTTATTCCTCTGACAGATATTATTTTTCGTGTTTAACCATCTGGTCATAATATAAACTTGAGATTATATTATACGAGATTATTTATAATATAATTAAAGACATTTTTTTCATCTTCAAGTAAATTTTATAAATGAATCTAAATTATTTTATAAATGCATATGAACATTTTGAATGTAAAAAAAAATCTGAAAGTACATAATTATAAACTTTCATTCATTAATAAATTCAAAACATATCATTAACAAATGGTAAGAGCTAGAAATTTAAAAATTAAATAAAGTGAAACAAAAAAATATATCAAATGAGCTAATTTATTAAATTCGAGAACATTATATTTTATACAATTATAAAAATAACAATAAGATTTCATTACAAAAAAAATAAATCAGTAAGAAAATAAATAAGGTATATGCTAAGAGGATTTTTTCCCCTTTTATATAAACATATTTCACAGCACTTTACCCATACAGCTAATAGTCACTAAGTCATTTTAACCCATTCATTCAGAACAGAACCATTAATAAAATTTAATTATCAAACAAACAAAATTACTTATCAAAATTTAATCATATCAATTGGTTATTAGTAAGAATTACATGAATTTATTTTGATACATAATCAACAGGTAAGAAGTCACTTGTATTCTTTAGAATAATTTAAAAATTTTAGAAAATAGACTGGTAGTTTCAAATCAATGTCTGGTGAAAAATTAACTACTATCATTCAACTACACCTGATTGTGTTTATTATAATTACTAGGTCAAGGTATATTGAATTAATTAATAGAAACTGAACAATGCCAACAACTAATTAACCTTGTAATTTCAAATACATACAAATTAGAATGTTTCTTAAAATATACTTTAGCACAGGTTAAATAACAATAAAATGGAATATTATATTTAATTTGTTGATATACTGCCATAGAAACAATAAATATTAATTAATATTTTAGTTTAATGGTTAAAAACTCTAGCTGCAAACAAAATAAAAAGAACGAGACTTGTTCTGAAAGAGAGAGGTTTTGATAGGTTGATCTAAACCCAAATTTTATTTTAAAACAAATAAAATTTTACCTTGTAGATTATTTTTCATCTTCAACTGATCTGATAATTCTATAACTTTCTTCCAATTTCCTTCTTCTCGACATTTTTCGATGTCTGTTTCAAGTCTAATTCCTTTATTGCTCTTCGTCGTCATAATAATTTATTAATAAAAAAATACAAATAAATAACTTAGTGATAACAAGACAGCAACTGTTATCAGTGAACAGTGCAACCTACACAAGCACCTCTATACGACAACACTTGTAAACCAAAATTCCCTCAGCAGGTTAGGATTAAAACTTCTTGGGCGGAGTTATTTGCATTGTTATACTTATTGTTAAGGTTCTTTAAGCACATTTTGAGGCGTAAATGTCCCCGGCGTTGACTTAATGTCTATAATACTTCATCTGGCTTCTGTTCAGATGTAAAAATGATTTATTATCCTGAAATACAGTGAGTCAATACTAGTTAGACTTCTAGAAAAACCTTCCAGATATAAGATACAAACATATTTTAAAATTTTATTTTTGTTGTAACATATTTTGATGATAATTTTCAGTTCTACTATTTAATCGAAAATTTAAAGTTAGAAACATCTTAAAAGATTACCTTGACTTATTCTAATAATCATGAAATGTTTAAAAAATACTCTGGAATTTAATTAAAGTAAGTATGATGTTAATTGTTTTCTTACTTCTATTTAAAAAATCTTATATCCATTAGTAAATTTAATGTTACTAGGTCGTTTTATAATTTAATTATCAACATTGACATGCCACGCTCAAAAAGGAGATTAGCAACTGAAATGGGACCTGATGATGATGATAGGCATTTTAGTAAAAGACTGAGAAATACTGCTGCAAGGTAACAATATTTTCATTGTTGTTGCTTATATATTAACAAGAATGTGTAATATTACGTCAACCCCAAAATTGTGTATCAATTATGTTATTTATATGATTTGTTTCATCGTTATATTTAGTTAGGTAATGAAATATCAATTTTTTTATATAATGCAATATTATGCCATTGCTTAATGTTTCTCTTATTTTAAATTAAAATAGTATCAATGAATTCATCATATATATATGTATATATAATTGTATGTTTATATGTATTTATATATAAACACATTATATAATTATAATTTTTAAAGAATTCCCGTATGTATTAAAAGGCCTTTCGTGTATAAATTCATTCTTCTCTTTGCTTATAAAATAGTCATTATGCGAACTTATCTACATTTTTGTTTTAATTGCACATAATTGTTAATAGTAAATTATTATTATTAGCACATATTTAATATATATATATATATATATATATATATATATATGTTGTAATATTTCTTATATTTTAAATAACAATATAACCTGGGAAGATCACTTCAAACTGTTGGGATACTTCCAAAAGAAATAAGAGGTTATTAAGTAATAAACAAAATTATAAGAGTATGAATATATTAAACTGAACTTTATCTCAGGTATGATTGGTTGATTGTTCTGTAAGTTTTAGTGGGTCATTTTTAGTATATGTTTGTCATTTAGTTTAATGTTTCAAATATTTCTCTCTGATAAAAATTAAAATAGGGTGTGATCAATATAACTAGGGAAATATATTTGCCACTTTCTCTGCTTTTTCATTTCCTTTAGAGCCAATAAACCCAAAACAATTTTTTTTTTATCTCTGTCAGTCAATTGGTTAAATCTGGGGAAATGTAACTTGATAAACTGAAGATTTACATTTTATAATAATTCGAGTTCATTTCCCGGTGCTGGAGGGGAAGAGACTTTTTACTCTGCTATTAGTTCCCAAGGAAAAAGGAGAGGACCAAAAATAAAAATTGGTTAAATCTAAACTACATATAATGCCCTTTTCTGGCTATCGGAATTGATGGATTTTGATGAATGAGATATCAAACTAAAGGGAATTTCATGAAAAATGAGGAATCAATTCAATCCTTACATTTCTTCACCAACTTTAATAAAACGTTTTGAAAAAATTGATGGGTTTAAAAACTTAGGTGGTTTCAAAGTCAATGAATCAACATGGGATAAATTATTTTTTAAACAATTCAACACGGTCCTCAAGTCCTGGTGTTGTTCCAGATGAACTATTAGGTCCTGTGTGTTAAAGCCCAAAAGTGTCATTTCCGTAGTTAATTGAAATTCTTGCCAATTTACTTTTTTGAATTATGGTTGCCGTGAAATACTAATCACATGATGTAGTATCGAAAGAAACTTTAATATAGTTAATAAAATACAAATATATCCAGTTATGGTTACTAAATCCTTGATAATAGACTTTATTCTTAGTATGAGCGAGAACTATAAACCAAGCTCAAGCCTTTTCTATACCAAACAAATAGATCTTGAGCGAGTATGTCAATGGATTAGTATAATTTCAGGAATTGCTTTGTCTTATTCCTTAACTATTAATTGGAGGGATATTTTCCAGTGGGAACAGCTAATCTCTTATTAAGTAAATTACTAATTGAACAGTCATACTCGTGTATGTGAAATAGACTATCTTTAAAATATTATATTGTATATACGAATAAACGTGTTTTGCTGATGTCGATTATACGTCAAATGGATTAGGGAGAACAATAGCTATCTAAAGTGAGGTTTCTCAGTGGGGTATAAGTGTTTTTAATTTCTTCTTTATATATACCTTATATATTTTTTATTAAATTAGTATTTTATTTTTTGTATAGGTGTTAAATATATTGTGCACCATTTAATATTGTTTTTTATTTTTCATACTTTAAGTTACAATTTATGTTGTGCTATTTATCATAATGCTGGTTATAATAATGATGTGGTAATTGTTAGTTAGCAAGAATCATAATTTATGATTTTTTCAATTGTTATTTTATCGTATTACTATCTTTTCAAAATTATAGGTTGTTAATTATTTTCTTTTGCTTTCATAATCATTTTCAGTTTATTTTGCTTTACTTATATGAGATTTTTAACTGTGAGTAAAAATAAAATAATAAAAATTAAAAAAAGTACTGTTTCTTATTCAACGGTTATGTAAGGAAATGATTTGACTGAGATCAGGCTCAACCGCCACATTTTCCCTCTTAATTAATTATTAATTAAGGATACCCACTTTATAGAGGCTGGGTGTGCTCCAGGAGGTTCTCCTGATCCCAGATCGCCCCACGGCTGATAATACAGAATAAATAATTTTTCTACCATGAGCAGAGATTCAAACCCAGAACCTTGAGCATTTTAAAATCAGTGACCTATCACTAACCTACCCCACTCCCACAGTATAGATGACACTACATATAACCTCTTATTATAGTATTTGTTAAGTTGAATAAAGCCTTTTTTAACAGGTCTATGGTTCTATAATTCTCTGCAATTTATTCAAGTTTTTAATTTATTGGGTTCTCGTCAGTGAATGATAATCAGTACAGAGAATTATTTCAATCCTGAACACCTTGCATGGAACAAGGCTCAAGCTTCTCGTCAGTGAAATCCCTGGAAAACAAAATTTGAAAGTTTTGTTACAGAAAGAAAAGCAAATGAAGAAGATAAATTATAAATTTAAACTCTCAATTTATTTAATCTCTTTTAAAATCTAGGATATCTGAATGTGCTACATACAACTAAGCTATTGGTACCCTAAATACAATAAATACCAAATCCATAAATGAAGTGTGCGCTCAGCGTTAGCTAGCATCCAGAAAAAAAGAATGGCGAAGCTATCGACCAATATTATTGCTTAAAAAAACCTGAGTAAAGACTGTGATTTCATGGCAGATTACAGCCGAAATGAACATGATGATTATATAAATTATTTGTTCATACTTTTATTTGTCTCGCTTCTCCAAGGACCAGGCAAAGACTTCTCGTAACTCAATCTAATCTCTTCTCTGCAGGAATGGATGTTTCACCAACTAGCCAAGTAGCTACTATGGCTCATTTAGGCCAAAAGAATCATCGCATCAAGCCGTCACCTCACTGTTCCACAAGAAATAATTTTCCAAACATTTGTTAAAATTGAAAATCCATAATCCTTCAGAATTCGAAAAGACCTGACTCCAACAACCAATTGCTGGGTATAAAAGAAAATCTAACTTCCATACAAATTTCTGACTGAAAGGGGAATTACAAAATGAATAATCTAATTCACAAAAATCTAATAATGCCTATTTAACCTGTCTAAGATTCTTTAATTTACTGGAATCATAATATTAACCCTCAAGATAAAATATATATATTTTACACGTCCAGATAAGGAATTTGTTTTCATAACTGAATATTTGTGCTGTTTTAAATCAGGCTAGTCAGAGATAATTAAAAGTCAATTAAAACTTAATATATTCCAAAATATTCAATTAATTGCTCTTCTCATTTATTAACCCTTTGTGGTTTACTTATGATTGCAAGCAAGGTGCTGAGCTGGGCTATGAAAATTATAAACAACTGCTGCCTTTAGTGTATTCATAAGAATCTTATTTAAAAATAAACTTAAGAATTCAAAGTGTTTATCTATTCGTCTTATAACATATTAATAACTAATATTGATTAATTAATATAACATATCTTAAGGAGCAGGGTAACCCAGTGAGTAAGGCACTGAGGTCCTATTTCCAAGGACTCAGGTTCGAGTCCAACTGAGGCAGATAGTTATTTATTCTGTTTCATCAGCCGTGGATCTAAGAAGTTGGGAGACATTTCTGGTTTACACTCAGTCTCTATGAAGAGAGTACCCTTAATTAATTAGTTGATTAAGGGGGAAAACCTGGTGGTTGAGTGTAATGTCAGCCAAAGCACCTCCCTCCACAACTGTTGTTGGCCTAGAAGTACTTCTTTGAAAAATACTGAGGCTTCTTGGATTGTAGTGGTATAGTTTTTAATTTTTTCTTAAACATTATGTTCGATCTGAGTTCAACCAAAATATGCTCTATGAATGAAAATGTGTTAATTGACATAAATTAGATACAAAATAAACCATAGTTATTACATCTTATAACACATAGATAATGGAGAATTCCCTCTGTCGAGATCTGTGCATTATTTCCACAAAATAAATTTCATTTTATATCTTAAATAGATTAACTGAGAAATACAATTTTCACCTGTTTTTTTTTTTTCCACTATCAATTCTTTAAATGAACCTCATGGTAGACCAACACTGGAAGGAAATAGAGAAAGGATTAAAAGAAACAGCCAAGGAAGGGATAGGTATTCAGGAGCAACGAAAAACTTAGATTTGGTTCACAGAAGCATAAGAAAAGGCAGTAGAGGAGAGAAGAAAAATGAAAGTCCTCTGCCTAGCCACAACTGATCAAGTTACTCTGGATAAGTAAACAGCAGCCAAGAAAAAGGCAAACAAAATTATAAGATTGGCAGAAAGAAAATTCCTCAAAGGAAGATTGCAAACTGTTGAGGATAACTGGCAGGTTGAAGATACACACAAATTCGACGCATACATTAGGAAAGAAAGGGTAGGATATAAAGCAAGGATTATGAAGATACAAGAAAAATATGACATTCTGACAGCATGTAAAGAAAAGATATTAAGCATCTGGAAAGAACATTTCCAGGAACTTCTCAATCAAGGGAACCCCACGAATGAAGAAGACATGTACTACACTGAGGACTTCAACCCAGAAGAGGTTGAAAAACAGATATACGGTTGTAGAAATAGCTGTCGTAAGGCCCTGGGGATGGCCAACCTAAATGTGATTGACAAAGGCATGTACAAATGATCCTAAATGTCGAGTCCTAATATAAGAAGAAATATCTAAAACCCTCAAAGTTCGAATGAGCTTACGGGAGGGAGATGGACTATCACCGATGTTATTCAACTTAGTCCAAGAGAAGATGATAAGAATGTCACGTGAAAATGGAGGGGTCCACATCGGAAGGAATCATGAAATCCTTGGATATGCAGGTGATATAACTGTCCTTCGGAATAATCAAGAAGCCGTTAAGAAACTCGTTAATACCCTGATAAAAAGAGGCAAAGCAAATCGGCCTACAAATAAATGAAGAAAAAACAATATATATGATAAAAAGCCAAAAATTCTAACCCAATAATAGGTTTCTACGTAGAAGGGAAATCGACCCCAAGCGTAGAAAAATTCAAATATCTTGGCTTCAAGATAACCTCAATGAGTGACCAACTGTTGGAAATAGCAGCTTATAACAAGCACAAACAGTGCTTTCTTCTTCCTTTCAAAGGCATTGGAAGCCCGAAAAATCCCAAAATAAGGCTGCACAATGCTATGATAAAGCTAGTTCTAATATGTGGCTGTGAAACTTGCGATACTAACCAGCATCCTTGATAAAAGTATTTGAGAGAAAAATCTGCATGATAACCGGATCGATCTGGGATCAGAGCACTAACGCATGGAGAAGAAAGACCAATAAAGAGCTGCTTACAGAAATTAGTATATCAATATCTTATGTTATAAACTTACGGAGGTTAAGATGGGTGAGACATGTAGCTCATAGCAATCCATCTGGAAGCCTCTATGTAACAATGAATGCCTCAATAGAAGGCAGAAGGCCACGTGGAAGGCCAAAAAGCAGATGGATAGATAAAATCAACAAAGATGCTATAGAGTTGCATGGAGATAATTGGAAAGAAATAGTCCAAGACAGGCAGAGATGGAGCAGGCTTGTTAAGGCAGCAAAAAATCTACAAGGTCTGTAATACTATATTTCTTTTGATGTTCTAAAAAGTTGAAGTTTATTCATTCGAAATTTGAGTTTTTTGGAATCTAAAAAGGTTTTTCCTGCTTTTTTAATAAAATTAGAAACTTTTAAGGGAGGGATAATGGTTGAATGAAAAAAAAAATTGTTTTGGAATTTTTGGATATCTAGTATTCAATGTTTTTACTTTCACTTACCTATAAATGTAATATACAGTAAGGAAAAGTATTGCGATTGTGAAATTTTTTAATTTGAATTTTCAACGGAAATACATGTTTTGAGGTTCCCTGAGTCCAATTAACCAAGTCCCGCAAAATGGTCTGTGTGGATGTGAGTGTATGTATGTGAACAGTTTGCTCAAAAATGAAAAGTTGTACACTACTAAAATTTTGTGTACAAGTTTTGTAATATCTGCCTGGGATGTTACTTTAACTTTTTCATCATTACCAGCTAACTGGAAGTGCCACTTTACATTATCGATTTTACACAATTTTACTATTTTCTCAGAAACAGCTCTAACGATTCTGATCGAATTTATTATATTTTAAAAGGTTTTCATGTGAAATGTTGAGGATCTACTAATATTAACTTAATAATATACAATATTTACTAACATTGAGTTATTTTTTAAAACGATTTTCATGATAAATGTTTCTGATAAAACTCTGAATTTTTCCAAAAACCCATTTTTCTTCACAATCATTAATATTGTTTGGTACTATACACAGTCATAAAAGGAAATGGAAAGTGGTGCAAACATAAAAATTTAACAGATTCGATCGGTGATCAATTTTTTTAAATGAAGTTATAATGTCGTTATAACTATGACTTTGTTCGTAAGTGAAAGTTGTATGATATGCGCATCGCACCAGTTATTATTTTTTTTAAATGCTGAAAACAAATTTGTAACTTTGTTTTTTTCTGATTTAATTAATTAAATTAAATTAAAGCGACTACAGTTTTTTTTTACTTATTAGGGAAATCTTTCGAGGGTATTGTTTTTTATTGATGCAGAATAATAGGAGTAAACAATTATCAAAAAAAAACAACATCATTTTTAAAAGTTTCATGGGTTTTTTTATTAACTCTTAGGACATATTCCTGGGATATGTGTTAAATATTTTTAAAATATATTATAATAAATTTAAAAAATTGGTTAAAATTGGTGACTCAATGACTGTGATAATTGTTAACATAAATTATTGAAGTGCAGTGCTAAAATTTTATATTAACCTTTGCATTAAAATCTGATTCAAAGCAATGGTTTGAATAAATTTTTATTTCTTATTAAATCTGCATTGGGTCAGTTATTCTTATCATAATGCTACAATTAGTATGTCACATCACTCCATGTTGATCTGTATATAATAATAAACGCACACCTGACATGAAAAATTGTTTTGTACTGGTGCATTTATTTAAACCATTTTTATTTCTTCTTTTTATGTTTATTCAAAACATAATGTTTATCATTAATTTTCTTGCTACCTTTTTTTTTTTTAATTCATTGTACATGGCTCATGACCTGGAATTTGTATTTTGAACTATAAGTCCTGTTTTGCGATATGGCAATAAATTTTTTTGTAGGAACAAAGTTATTTCTTTATACTCACACTTTAATACCAAGAAGGTTTATTATTATTAATACATAAAATCTATAAAAATGTACATTTTCTTTGAAGACTCAATTTATTGTTTACATAAAACAGTAATTTATACAAATATGTAGATTAATATAATTATTGTCATCCATACTGAGTTCCCCTCCTATACTTGTGTGACACTCTTCTTTTCCATCTAATTCACTTAACATTTTTTAAATCTCTTTGTTCTATATTGCAAAAATATCCTGATAAAAGTCAAATAAAACATAGGATTAAAGGTTAAAGAAAGGATAACCTTATTTGTTCTTATTCTTGGAATAAAGAAAAGAGTTTCAAGAAGTAATAACCTAGCTAGACAATTACTACTACTTATCAATTCACAGACCACTAATTGCTCTCTAAATGATCAACTAATTATCTAGATATGTGTGCTATCTTCAAAATATGCCTAGAAGAGCAAGGCTAACACCCATAGCGACAGAATTACAATACTGATTATTGGAAGCTTTGTGTGTAATCATGATCTTTTTTATTTATTTTTGTTAATCAATATTTCTTAAATTTAGAGAAAAGAATGAAAATTATATTGATAAAGAATGTCTTTTGAACTAGATTATTATTTAAAAAATCTTGATATATCTATGAATTCACATTAATTACTTACAAATAATTTTAATTTTTACAGAATTTGTTAGTATGGAATTCTTGTTATTATTAACCATTCCTCAATTTATGAGGGAGTTAGGGTAACTGTAGAGTAAGTTAATTTTCTTTTTTAGGCAGACCGAATATTTAGTAAATGTATTTTATTGATAGCCAAAATTTGTATTTTTTTTTAGTTGGTAGCTTTTGGACATCCTTTGAGCTCAGAAAAAATACGTTTATGGGCTTAAATTTACTATAAATGAAGATGCAATAAAAATTTATTAATTATTTTTAGATGTCTAAAAAGTAGAGCATATCTCATAAAATTTTTAAAAAGTATATATATTTGTATTTTTAATGGATATATTAATAAGAATAAAAGTTTACTGAATATGCTCTACTTTTTAGATATGTAAAAATAATAGATAAATTTTTATTTCATCTTCATTTATAGTAAGTGATTATATATATATATATATATATATATATATATATATATATATATATATATATTATACATAATTTGTTTTATGTAAGTATAATAAATACCTTGAAATTGTTGGCTGTAGTTCTTGGCATTTACAGTTTTGTTCTAAAAATAAATTTAGTTTTAGAGTGAATTACAGCAGAGTATCATATGATATGATATTTTATTTGTATTTTTCCACATTTTTAAATTTGATGTATGGGTGATACTAGGTGGTGATTTGTTTTCTCTTCTGTCATATTTACTTTGTGAGATCAGTGAGTCATTTTGAAATTGTTATCGATATGATTTTAGTGGGCGAAGGTTTTCCAAGTCTGAAGATACTTCATCATTCAATCAAAAAAGATGTATGTCATGGTTTCGGGAATATACTTCTCCAGAAGATCCAGAACTCTTGGGTAATTATTATTTTTATATCTTTGTTTATTTGTTCAACATTTGTTTTTTAATGATATTGAAATTAATTGTAACCTTAAGTATGTTAGAATCACATTGGTGATCATTTTAAAGTATGGAAAGAAGAAGCTGTTTAACTATAAGCTTAAATAATTGTAATTAATGATTTAGGGTTGTGTTATTTGGGTTTGATTTTTCAAAAACTTAAGTTAATATTCCTAAAAAACATTCCTAAAAATATAAATTAAAACTGACATATTTATTGACATGTGCATATGTGTGGATACAAATAATTTATTTATCAAAATATCTGTTAAAATGTAATTGTTTATCAATCAATTAATTATTGTTTATTGATTATCATGCATTTTTTTTATAATGCAATTTGTATGTTTTGAAATTCATTAGTTTTTCTTTTTAATTTGTTTGGAATTAATATATCATCATGAAATGATAAGTAAACTATATGTCTTTATTTATATAAAATTATGAAATGATCTAAAGTTGACTGTCTAGATTTTTAAGACAATCTGGTCAAAGTGAATTTAAAATCGGAACAATGTTTCTGTTATAAAACTAAACTATGTTGTTCTTTTCTAATAATCATTTTGGCTGGATTGTGTGTATAAATGTGCACATAGATGCATGTGTGCTTGTGTGTTATGGATGAACATCTCAACAATCCTAAAATATAGAAAAAAATATATACAAATAAGTAATATTTATACAATGCATTAAATTGTTGGCTCAACCAATCCTTTTTATTGACTGCTTAATTGATTGAGATGCTACATATCCTCATATCCTCAAATTTCTACAGAACTGCTTCAAATATTTTAAAAAGGAATCAGTGTTTTAGAAAGAGAATTATATTCTTCAGATGTTTTATTTCAGCACATTTTGCATTATTGTTGGCCGTTTAATTACAAATGATGCTTGATTTTCAACTTGAAATTGTTTTTGTTAGTAAAATTTACTTGACTGGTGTTTTTTATTGCCTAGGCCAATTATTTTTTCATGTTTTATTATTCTCTGACTATTCATCTTTAATGAAACATGAACTATGACGAAATTAAGGCTAATGCTGCTTCTCAGTGACCAAATAACTAACTAAAGTCAAAGCCATCATTCCGCCATGTTTGAATACAATTTTGGGGCAGTGCGTTCACTTTTTTTGTGGGAACATTGTTTTTTTTTTTGTTTTTTTCAATAAATAGTAATAAGGAACCCAACGATATGCAATTTATAGGGATGTGGGGGGAGGGGTGCATGGTAGGAGATTTTGACCCACAGGCTATATAGCTTTTTATCTGTCATCTTATAAATATGTCCCAGCCATCTTAGTAGTGTTGTACTCTGATGAAACTTGAGATTAGTAGAACTCTGTATAAAACATGTTCTCCTTTTTTTTTTTCATAATTAATATAAATGTTAGCTAGAACCGGGCTATATGTTTACTGTTAACACTTTCCTTAAATCAGTTCAGCTTGACTTACTTAGTCTAAGTGTTTTGCAAGCCTTGGTTGCTACCAGTGTAATGAGAGTTACGACAAATTGGATACAGGAGTTATAAATCTGGATTTTTAGGGCTTCAGAAGGAGGTTACTTCAAAGATATTTATGTAGTACAAAATATTACTGGTTTGCAGTTACTATCCTCATTTCTGAGTGAGGTGATTGCATCGTCATAGTTGGAATGAGTATTTAAACTTATGGGTCTTAATTACAAAGGAATTCCCAAAATGCTTATTGCCTTAACCAATTAAATATCTAAGGAACAAACTAAGTCGTTAATGGATGGATTGTTTCAATTTAGACATAGGTGACAAGGATTTATGAATGATAGTGCAGAGGTGAGTATATGTGATGTGGTCAGCATTGACCTTATGAGCCTCTAAGCCTTTACTTAATTGATTTTTTATCATTATTTAGACCATCTAATTGGGATTTTAAAAATATTTGTTTTGTTTTTTTTCATTCAAGTTTTCTCTTTTAGGTCCTGAGGGAATGGAGAAATTTTGTGAAGACATAGGAGTAGAGCCAGAAAACGTTATCATGCTTGTACTTGCATGGAAAATGAATGCTAGACAAATGGGATTTTTCACCCACCAAGAATGGTTGAGAGGACTAACAGATATTCAGTAAGTATCTTTATTATAGAATGAGGCTATCCTCATCGACTCCAGGCACCTCATTAGTTCCCTTCACTTCTCTCGTCTTTACCTCAATAACTGCCCCATCTATTTCTTCCTTACAGTCAAAAACCTTGGAGTGACCTTTGATCAGAAGAGGCTCTGAGTCTCGGAGTGGTACAGAAGAGAGTCTTGGAATAACCAAATTTCCCAGATTACCCATAAATCCATAACTATCCTTGATCAATTCTTACCATTCCATGATTCTATTCCAAAAAAAAACAGACAGCTCTTTGTAGCATCCCTTGTTTTCCCCCACTTCGACTACGGTTGTTTGTTGTATGGAGGGCCGTCCCCAAGACTGAAGAGACACATAAATTGCTTCATAAGATTCATCTTTGGGGTTCCCATGTTTTCTGCTTATTCATCGAGTTGAAGCAACTCTATCCTGCTCCAAATGACAGTTCCTTCTTCATGTTTTCCTTTTTCAAGTCATCAGAACCAAAAATCTTCCCTATATCCTAGAACTCCTTGTTGTAAGTTCCTCTATCCACTCTCTGTTCTCTCCACTCAAAGTTGTTCACAGTTCATATTTGTAGCCGTTTCGTATTACTACTTATCTTGAAAACTTAATTATTTCGAATAAACCATCTTAAAAGTGCTATAGAGGAAGTCATTTTGAAAATTTGTCATTTAAACCATATGGGACATTTGAGAGGTAAGACCTACCTAATATTAAAAAACACTTAATTGTACATTGGCAAAATGATTTTAATCTAAATCATTGGAGCCATTTCTAAGAAAATTGTAAAAATGTGGCTAATCGATCATATAGAGTGCCGTTTCTGGTTAGCCAATTTTAACCAAGAAATTACGGTTACTTTATAGACCAAACCTCTGGAGGCTACTGACATCATGGAAAGCCACATTGTGATTCCTTATTCCTATAAATTGCATATCATTTTGTTCCTTTTATCACTTTTTTTTATTAGGAACATTAGTTTTTTCAATTTATAAGGACGTGGAGAAAAGGAGGTACATGGTAAGGGACCCAGGCCCACAGACTAATGATTTCATCGCAGATAACTCCGACAATTATTAATGTTCACTTTCATATTTCTACTTAATTTTAATATACATATGTTGTCGAAAAATTATGCTTTACAAATTTGTTTCTGTCCAATTTTATATTAAAACCAAACAATGTTCAGATATTTGGTTTCAAAGACCTCAGTAAAGTAATTTTTAGCTAAGTACTTCAAACTGTTCTCAACTTTGAAACCGATAAGTACTAGCCAAATTATTAATAGAACACTTTATATAAAATTCTATGAGGAATATTTTCATTTCTGTTCATTATTTCCGTCCGATCAATGAATTTGAAGTGAAGAGAACTGACACAAAATTCCAAATATGGAGGTGAGAGGACTGTTTTTTTTTGCAAATGTGGGAGTGTTTCATCCACTAGGCAGTTGGGAATTTTTTTCTTCTTATTCCTGACCATAAAAAAAAAAAAAAAAAATCTGTGAAGGACAAAACTTTATAAATTATTTCCAAAAATGCTCTTGTTTGCTGTAAGGTCATGCAACTATTAAGTTTAAGATGTTGATATTTTTTTTTTTACTTTCGCTTACCTATATATATGAAATATTTAGTGAGGAAAAGTATTGCGATCATGAAAATTTTCGAATCTAAGTTATCAACAGAAATACATATTTTGAGCTCCTCTGAGTTCAAATATGCAAGATGGTGTGTGTATGTCAACAGTCTACCTGAAAAACAAAAAGTTGTACGAAATTGAAATTATGTATTTAAAGTGTGTGTGTGATGTTATTGTGACTTTTTTGTCAAAATCAGCCAACCAGAAGTGCCACTTTATATCTTTATACAATTTTCTCGAGAATGGCTCTTACAATTTTGATTAAATTCATTATATCAGTGCAAAATTAAGCATCTTTTAATATTATGTAGGTCTCATTCTCATTGATGTTCTCTAATGGGCCTTAAATGCTTAACTTTCAAAATTTCTTTCTCTTAAGTATATTAGATTTTTTTTATTGTGTGCATGAACAGTCTAGCTTAAAAATAAAATTGTGTTAGTCCGAGAGCCCATGCAAACAAATCGACATTATTTGATGAAAAATTTAAAACGACTGATTTAAAGAATATTAGGCCAGTAACTTGAGAATCAATACAGGAAATTCATCACAAAAAATGTGGGAAAAGCTTTTATTTTTTTACTTGTATATATTGGTTTAAACATGTAAAAATCATAATTGCTAAGGTCAACGGAAAACTTCTTATAGCCAAAAAAGTCAGATTTATTCGATCTGTTTTTTGTTTTTTCACCTATAGCTCCTAAACAGTGCATCAAAGCAAAAAATATACTCTTTAAGAATTTAAAGAACATTAAATTGTTCCTCTAATGATAACCTAAACTTAATAATTTGGTTAAGTGGTATGATTGATAACCGAGGTCAACGAACACCGATTTTTACCAAATTCGACAAATTACTATAAATGGCCTTACAACTTGGAAATGAGGTCTCTAAGACAGAAAAATCATAGGATAAAAGTTTAGAGTATCAAATTCCGCAGCAACAGTTTTAATGTAGGTCATTAACTACACTCGAAATCGGTAGTGAATATGGATGGCTGGATATTGGTAATGAAGATATCTGTGATTTTAAATATTTCAATAGAAAAGGTTTCTATTCTACTTAAGTTATTCTTGTTAGAGTCTAGTATATATTCTTTTTTCTTAAGGAAACTTTTCTGCCTCTCAGCAGCTAAGGATTTTGAGAAATTAGGTATCAAAAGAAAAATTTCATGAATAAATAATGAATTCAAACTGTAGGTTAAGTGGTGTGGTATTATATTAACCACTTAATGGCCATTTATAGTAATTGGTCGAATTTGGTAAAAATCTGCGTTCATTGACTAGTCTAGTTATCAACCATACCACTTAACCAAATTATTATGTTTAAATAATCCTTTGACGCACAATTTAACGTTCTTTAGTTTCTTAAAGAGAACGTTTTTTGCTCTGATGCACCATTATAGGAGTTTTATGTTAAAAGATAAAAAAAATATGACTTTTTGACTGTAATAAGTTTTCTCTTGGTGTTCCGCATTAGCAATTTTGTTTTTTACATGGCTAAACCAATATATACACGTTAAAAAAATAAAAACTATTTCCCATTTGGATCCTCAAATTACTGGTCTAATATTCTGTAAATCAGCTGCCATTTTTACAGTGAGCAAGATCCGACTGCAGACTCTAATTTTTTAATATAAACATAAATATTTTTTAAAAAATGGTTTAAAAGTAGTTAGTAAATAAATATATGGGCTCTCAGACTATATATTTAAGGTTTGTATATGGCTGGGATGTTAAAGCAACTTTTTCATCAGAATCAGCTTACAGGAAGTGCATATCTCTTTATATTATTGATTTTACACATTTTATTGATGTTACAATTTTCTCAAAATCTGCTCTAACAATTTTGTTTAAACTCGTTGGGTTCAATGTATTATTAAGTACTTTTTAATTTAAGCTATGTTTCATCTTCATTGATGCAGCCTGACAGTGCTTAAATGGCGAATTTTAAATGTCTTTCCTCGAAAGTACTTCTGATTTTGTTTATTTGAAATAATTAACCAATTCACTTTATACCTTGAAATAAAAAATGGTCACATATAAACAATGAAAAAATTTGATGATTACTTATAGAAAGATAAGGGATCGTAATTGATGTGTAGGTTTAGAATAGGCTTCCCTACCTTAAATACATTATTCTAAAATTCACTGATCATGTATGTAGTACCTACTAAAAAAATATTATTATTTAACATTATCATAAATCTAATTACTTTCTTTTAATTTATTTCAGATGTGATACAGTCTCGAAGATACAAAATAAATTGGACTTTTTGATATAATCATGATGTCTTTGCATTGCTCTATGAAATCTAATTACTTTCTTTTAATTTATTTCAGATGTGATACAATCTCGAAGATACAAAATAAATTGGACTTTTTGAGATCCATGTTAAATGATCAGACCTCATTTAAAAGTATTTACCGATATGCTTATGACTTCGCAAGAGTATGTATAATTTAAATTATTTCTGATCAATTAATTAAATTGTTGATTATTGAATATTTTCTGATTTGAATGGAAGTAAAATAATCATTTAAAATAACTTTAATATGGCTATTTAGTAAGAATACCAGGTTAAATCAACCCTACTCTGAAGCCTCGTTTACATGGTCAAGTTTTATTTTATCCAAGTCTTTAAGAAACTTACTTTGATAAAAAAAAAAAAAAAACCTAACCATGTAAATGGGTTTCGAATCATTAGATCAAAATATTCCAACATGTTAAAAATTATTAATTTAAAGGTTTAACAGCACTCTTCATGTTTAGGAAACAAACTATTAAAGTATTTTTTGCAGCTAATGGTAGTTAAAACTTATTGATTCTTCATTGATTGGTATTGATTCTTTAAAATATGTTACTACAGTATTAATAAGAATAACTATAATTTTGTTTGTCAAATTTTATTTTATAGAAAAATGGTCTGAAAAAGTTATCAATTATGTATTAATATTAAAAGTAGTCAACTGTTGCAAATAATTCCATCATCAAATGGCGATATAGTGTGAAAATAAGTAAATACAAATATTTATTAATGAAAGGTATTTTATTTTGAAAATATGTCAATATGTAGAACAAGTTTCATTGTAAAACATTCAAAATCCAGATCTTTTTTTGAAAATGATGTTAAAAGTGATTATGTGATCATTATTTACTTTTTGACTATTTAACAAATTTGAATATTATTGAATAAAAAGTAGATATAAAATGTTAAAGTTAGATTAGGAAAAGTGTTATGTAACATGTAAACATTTTAGTCAAATTTTAAAGGTACATTACTTTTAATTTGAATTGAATCAGGTTATTTTTCATTAGTGGCAATTGCTAACTCTTAATTTTCCTAAGAGTTGGCGCTGGAAACAAGGATTTGTTCATATTTGAACTTCTTATATTATTTTATTTCTGTGATGGTACCTTTCAAAACATTAATGATGTTCAAACAATTTTGGGTTTGCCTCATATTTTTTTTGTGTGATAAGCAAGTCGAGTTTCGAGCCATACAAAGAGTGTTTGTAGCATGTGCTGCTTTTCTTGTTTAATCAAAAGAAAAATGTGGGTGAAAGCTGTCATATACTTGTGTGCATTTGTTTAGACGATACAAAAGTAGTGATTTTGACTTGAAAGACTAAGAACTCTTAGGTCTAACAAAAAATTTCAAGATGCTGCATTGTAAGCATTGTTGGACAAAGACGATATGCAAATTAAACAAAAATGACAGAGAGATTAAATGTAGGTCGCTGAACTTTTTATGATCATCTACATGCCATGGGGAAAATACTGGAAGCAGAAAGAACCACATCAGTTGAACGACAGACAAATGGAAAAGCGAAAAATTTGTGAAAATTTGTTTTGCCTTGTTGGTATAAAAGAAAGACTTTTTCTTCGGATCATGACTGGAGACGAAAAATGAGTTTATTTTGAGAACCCAAAACTCATAAAATCATGGGTTGACCTAGGCTAATTATCAACATCAACCACAAGACTGAATTGCTTTGGAAAGAAGATAATGCTGTACATTTTGTGGAATCAAAAGGGTATCCCATGAGCTTCTGAAACCAGGTGAAACAGTTGATACCGTTCCCTACTGTTAACAAACGATCAATTTTAACCATGCATTAATTGAAAAGCAAATAGAATGGACCAAAAGACATGGAGAAGTAATTTTTCAGCACGACAAGCCCCATCACACAAAGCTAAAGTGGTGAAAGATACCATTTCTACACTTGGCAAGGAACTCTTGTCCTCTTCATACTACTTCTTGTTTTCATCAAGAGGTTCTAAAGGTTCAAACTGGTCTAACCTAAACTTAGAAAAATGAGTTTAAAGTGCTAAAACTTATCAGAGTTTTTCTTCATTACTTTAACTGGTTATATATAAATCCACTTATGAAATTGTTTTAATGATAAAATATCCTACCCCTAATTTTATATTGAATTAGTCAAAATGCAGTTAAATCCTTTTCATCGACAAAATGAGTAAAAATGGAAGTGACAATAGAATCTTGTGAAACCAAGTTAGCGAATTGTAGAGATGTCGAGAAAAAGCTAGATGATTTGACCACTTCATAAGATGTACAGTTTTTCTGAGAGGGTATCGGCAAACAGAGAGATGGGAAAAATGTGTCACTTAACAGATGGCATATACTTTGAATAAACGATTTTTTATGTCACTCAAAGTATTCCGCATCACTTGCAACTACTTGTTTTTAAGGCTATCCAAGAATCTAGCTTGTTATCTACATTAGAATGGAAGTGCTGCTCAGCCAAGTCATGTGCCATTGAATGAAAGAAGAGATAATGGGCAGGAGCCATATGCAATGAATATGGTGGGTGGGGCAGGACTTCCCATTTAGAGTAAAACAGGAGTGTCTTTACGTAGAACCGCCTGTCTGTTTTTCCAGCGATCTCTAGCGGCTTTCATTCTAACTTCGTGCTTGTCTTCTCGCGCAGTCATTTAAATTAGTCTCCGCTCCTTTTCCTACCTTTAATGCTAAAATGTGGTTTGCACCTTATAAATTAACTATTTTTTGACCTTAAGTAAGTAGGAAAACAGGTCCAAAAGACAGAGTAGTTGACAGTTACCTCATTAGAGAAACTAACCACTGTTTAATTATATATATATATATATATATATATATATATATATAATATATATATATATATATATATATATATATATATATATATATATATATAAACATATAAACTAATATTTAATATGTAACTTATGAAAAAAATGATAGTAAATCATTAATAAAATGTAATATTATTATATTATCAATATCTATGTATACATATAAATATGTATATCATCATTTTGAAATTTATTTCTTAATTTCCTGTCATTCTGTAAATCTATTAATTCCATTTAGTAACTCATCTGAAACAGTCTCCTCAACGTCTAAAATAAATAATGAAGAAAAAATGTTAAACCTAAAAGGGTAGGTTATGGTCGTGGGTTCATCAATTTCAATGAAAATTATTGGTGATACTTGGTCGAAAAATATTTCACCCATGTCCGAGGATTCTTGCTAATCTGCCCTAGAAGCCGAGAAAATTTTTTTTATAAAATTTTATTGTTTTTATGTTACTGTTTTCTAATTTTGCTTTACATGAATATATTATATATCAATCGATTTGTGTTTTTTTGTGTAATATAAGAAAAACTGGTAATTGTATTAAACAAATCGTAATGTATAAATAATCACAAAAACCCAAAGGAACTTTCAGTAAAGTAGGCCAAATAAATTTTGTGATAAAAAATCGATTCAGATTCGCTTTTAGCATCCACTTAAACTCCTAAATATGAGTTTACTTTGTAATAAAAAAATATACTTTTTGAATAAATTTTATTGGAATTTTATTATTTTTTTTCATTTCGCTCACTAAAATATTCATAACTCTTCAAGATTTTTTCCTGAGTCAACATTACTACAACTATTGGAAAGCTCAATTATTGCTCTTTAAATATCACTAACTTACAGATTTTATGGCTTTATTAGAAATAAATAGATATAAAGTTCCCAAACATTTTAATTTTTTATCTCCAAGCCTAATTTATTCGCGGCCGTCTAGTGTGCCATTCTGTGTGTATTATGTATCCCTACATGCATGCTAATGTTCGTGTGGATAAGTGGAGCCTTGTTGAAGTTATCGGAATTTTTGTGATTTTCGAAGACAAATCGGAGGCAAAAAGATCTTGCAAAAAAAATTATTTTGCAATTGGTATGAAAATTCATATTTAAGGGTTTTTCGATGTGAGAAATACAAAACACAACTTCGTTTCACCTTAAAAAACATATTGAACTCACTTTATTCCTAAGGTTCGCACTAATTGTTTCAATATTGTTCTTATACTCAAAGTTATCGCTATTTTTTATTTTAATCAAAAAATAAATATGTTTCGGTTTACTAATATCTACTGTAAAGCTAAAAAGCATAGATGGATATCATAGGAGTTATTAATAGAAGGCATTGAAAAGGAAGGGAGCAAAAACATTTACATTTTTCAATTACTACGAATATTCGTATTTTAAGGATTTTTAGAGTTGTGAAAAACAAATTTCATTTTTATTTATCCCAAAAAATATATTTCCTGGTGTACGTATATAATATGAACGTACAATAATATTGTTTTCTCATTTTCGATAAGTCGAATATCAACAAAATACCAGATGTTGTGCATTTACTCTTACTTTTGATATTGAAATACAGTTTCCTCAATTTATAAATATATTTATTAGTCCAGCTAAGAAGAAAAATATATATATTTGAAATACAGCTATAGTATGTGTTAAAGCCACTCACTATTATTCACAATTTAAGTGCGTCAAATAGTGCTCATCTATTGGCCATCTGAAGAACGCCATCTATTGGTGAAGTTGAGCAACTGGCCCTGCCTGGTGACCTGAGGCCAGAAGGGCCAAAGTACAAGACCAGTGCAAGTCTGAGTCTGAGTTTGCCTACAAAATGGTCCCCCATGACCAAGCATGTCCATATAATGTCTAGCTAGACCAGCATAACGAAGAAGCAGCATGGATACCAGCACATGAGAAGACATAAAGATGCCAGCAGGCCAAAACACCATTCAACTTAGATGACACAGAAGCCAGTCCCTCGATGGAAGCATTCAACCTTTTTTTTTTTTTTTTTTTTTTTTCGCCCTGCCTGGCATTGTTGCCATACGGGCTTTTGGCAGCAGTGGGTCAATACGTTTGGGTTCTCGTATAACCACTGCGGCCAATAATCAACATTTATTTATCTTTAACAATAGGGAATTTTCATTTATTTAACATAAAATTAGATTGGGTATACTGTGGTGCGGCCCGGTACACGGTTGTGCACTTTTATGATGGGGCCGCACCTGGTCCTCACCGCATCCGTCCGGTCCTCAGTCTTCTTTGTTCTCCTCTGGTGGTCTTCTTGCCGCTCCCAGGGAGAAATGTGCAGGGCCGATTGTGTCTTTCCACCCGTATACAAACTCCCTAAAGAGCGGGTAATTTTCATCCTCCACTAGGCAGGGGAAATCCTGTTCTGTTAGGCTATACAGCCCTGTTTCCCTTAAGAGTTTGGCACGGCGTCCCTCCATTGCGGTGCAGGATACCAGGATGTGTTCTGCCGTCTCGGGACTCCGCAGGGAGGGCACCGGGGGTCGATGTCCTTCCCATTGCCAGCCAGCTTTCCCCGGAACCCACCATGTCCTGTGAGAATCTGCGAGACCCAATAATCAGGGCAAACCCAAGTAGCCTTAAGTCTGTCTTGGACGGTTGGGAAGAACTTTCTGAGTGTGGATCCTTTCTCGCTTGTCACCCACCGTCTGTTCCACTCCTGGATGGATTCCTCCCTGACTATCTTCTTCCATTGGTTAGGGTTCTCGCAGATTCTTCTTTGTAGTCCCTCCGGTAGCGTATCCAGTCCCTGCCTCTTAATCTCGAACTTCAAAGCGTCCTCGTTGAGAATAAGATCCAGGGGCATCGCTCCGGCCAGCACCTGCACCGCCTTGTGGGACACCGTTCTATAAGCTCTTGTGACGCCCAGCAGGGCCAGGCGTTGCATGGTGGCCAGTCGTCGCTTGTGGTGTTGCTTCAAGTTTCGGCTCCACGCGGGGGATGAGTACCTCAGGATACCCAGGATGACTCCTTTGTATATTGTCATGGTTGCTGGGTACCTGAGGCCCCAGAAGGCACCTCCGATTCTTCATAGGCCATTCATCGTCAGGGTCATCCTACCCCTTAGGTAGTCTAGGTGAGGAGTGACGTCGAAGTTTCTTCTGATTCGTACCCCTAGGTATGTCGCCTCCTCACCTACCCTGACCCTTGCACCTTGGATGTCCAGATTGATAGGGTGAGCCCTGTCCGTGGAGCCTCTTACGAGTATGGCTTGCGTTTTTGTAGCGGCCATGGTTAGTTTCCGCTTGACGCACCACTCTGAGACTAGACTGGAACACCTCTCCGCTTCCGTCTTTAGTCTGGCTCTGCTGTTCTCAGCCACGATTACCGCCACGTCGTCGACGTAGGCCATGGCAAGGAAACCCCTGTTTTCCAGTTCCCCCAGCAACTGGTCGAAGACGAGCTTCTACAGGGCTGGACCTAGGACTGAGCCCTGCGGACAACCCCTCTCTATCCTCCTCTCGACGTCGTAGTAGTTAGCCCTGATCCTGACGGTTCTTTGACTGAGGTAACTGCCTACTAGTGAATAAAGGTTACTGGGGGGTGTCAAGCTCTTGCAACCTCTGGAGTACGCAGGGCCACCATACACTGTCGAAGGCGGAAGCATTCAACCAGACAGCATCTTCATTTATCTGGTCAGCCCATATTAACAAATAGTTCACTAACTCAATAATATAAATGTATATCTTAGTAACCCCCATTAACCTCTGTTTATTTCAATCTATTTTCTTTATCAATATGTTTTATTTTAACCTCATTTTACCCATTTTCTTATTTCACATTCTGCATGAACACTCCCTTCTGACCAAGTTATGAGCATCCAGGTTTGATTCCCCCTACTTCGGGATTAGGGAAGGCCTGATAACCCAAACATTATGAGAGCAATATTGAAGCAATTAGTACTGACCTTAGGAATAAAGTGGATTCAATATTTTTTTAAGGTGAAACGAAGTTGAGGTTTGTATTCCTAACATCGAAAAACCCTTAAATACGACTTTTCATACCAATCGCAAAATAATTTTTTTTCGCAGTATCTTTTTCCCTGACTGCTGGACCCTCCGATTTGTCTTCGAAAATCACAAAAATTGCGATAACCTCAAAGGCTCCACTTATCCCCATGAAAATTACCATGCGTATAGGGATCTATAATTCACACAAAATGGCACAAATTAGATGGCCACGAATATATTAGGCTTGGAAGTAAAAAATAAAAACATTTGGGAACTTTTTATCCCTATAACCCCATAAAATCTGTAAGTTACTGATATTTAAAGAGCAATAATTGAACTTTGCTGTTATATTAATACTTGTATTATTTATATACTGTTTTTATAATTATATTTTACATGAAAGGGATGATATGATAAATAATTGAATGAAGGAATGTTGAACTATTAACCTTTGAATTCTTTGTTTAACTGAAATCTTTATCTCTTCATTATAATTCTTTAGAGTAACTGGTCAGAGCAGACCAATTTATTCTGTTTAAACATTGAAATTAAAATCATGTAGAGTGGACACACTTGATTTTTAAATTCACTACTGCTTTTAGGATTTATAGATGATCGTCAATATTGGTATGTGATGAGAAATGTAAACGTAAACCATTATCTTCTGATAAAGTGTTGTCTATGCGTAAGTGTATAGAACATGTTACGACACAAGTGCAAGAAAGATAAGGTTAATTTAATTGGGGATATATCCGCTCCTACAGTATTTTTATAAAATTGAATATACATTTATATACTCTAGAATAAGTACACATATCATTTGTGATGTATATTTTAGAGCATATTTTTTATTAAGCATCTTTATTTTTTTATTACAACAGTTCCGATGTTAACATTAATTTACTTATCTATTCTTTAGGATAAAGATCAAAGGAGTATGGATTTGGAAACAGCTAAGGCCATGTTACAGTTACTTTTAGGCAAACATTGGAATTTATTCAATCAATTTAGTTCTTTTCTTGATCATTCTAAGTACAAAGTTATAAATAAAGATCAGTGGTGTAATATACTTGAATTTTCACGCACAATTAACATGGATCTTTCAAATTATGATGTAGATGGTGCTTGTAAGTATACATTTAGTTTATGTTAATGTAATGTTTAATAAATAAAAGTTGGAATGTTTATTTAATATATAACTTAATATGTTTAATATAACATCGGTTTGTTGTTGAAAGAAGTCATTAAGTGACATTTTATAACCTTTAATAACCAAGAACTTTGGAGAATTATCCCTTTATGTAATCAGAACATTTTGTGGTTGTTATACTCATATTTGATGTACAAAAAAAGGATTTGTGTCATTTCCATGCACTTTGAGTGTTTTTGTATTGATTAATTAAGTCAAAATTTTCAAAAACATTTGATAGTTAACCTATATCAAAAATGTTCTTAATGAGTTTTTTCAATAAATTGTCAGTATAATTAAGCATCACAGTGATTGATATGAATATTTAAATTTACATCATTAAAATCTTTATCAGCTCAAAACTTGATGATTAAGTGTGCAAGGAAGAATTTGTTTGGTCTGACCTGGTAGATTTAGGTTTTAACAAGAACTACAATATATGAAGTATGTAGACAATGTTGGTGGTTATCTCCACATATATATTATGGTGGTTATCTCCACACATAAACAGTCTGGCCAGAGACCTTAACATATTAACATCTACTTAACGCTGTCTCTCATATACATTTAGCTCAATTTTTTATCCCAGTATTAAAGTTTCAGTTTAATTTTTAATATTTTAATAGTCTTTCAATATTTTTTTTAATGAAATGAAAGTATTTTTTTTATTATTCTGGGCCTGTAGTCCCTTTAGGACAAATTATAGATACAGAGAAAATGCCTGTGTGGCCATACATTAAATTAAACATTTACAATTCTCATTAAAATTAAAATATTAGAAGAAGAATGCAATAAAAACACTAAAAACATAAGAGATATAAATAAAAACATGGGAAAATAAAATAGCATATGACAAAATCATTTCTGGGGAACTTAAAAAGTTCTCTTATCTACTTTTCATGATCAATCGGGTTGGGAAAGAAGTGGTCCTTAAAAATGAGAGATTTGAATGAGGAAACTGATTGTGCTTGTCGGATATTGGGAGGGATGGTATTCCAGATGAAGACAGCTTGAATTATAAAACATTTGTCAAACGCAGCAGCTCGGTGAGGAGATGGATAAAGATCGGAAGTACGGGATTGAAGGGAATATTTAAATTATAGGCTGTGAAAAATATAGAAAGGTCGCCGAGTTCTGATGGCTTGGTATAGAAAGGTAGTAAGGAAGAACAGACGGCGGTTGGATGGATAGAGCCACTTCAACTTGGTGTAATACTGGGTTATATGCGTATCTCTTGAGATTCAGAAAACAAAACTATTGCGCAGTTCATTAGATGATTAAGTTTGGCCTCGAATTCTCCCGAGAGTCCGCCTTACACCAGACAGCCATAGTCGAAGTGTTGGAACACAACGAAGGAATCCAGGAGTTGATAGGATTTATATGGAAGGAGATAGCGGAGACAGTTAAACTGTTTCAGGATAGAGATAGTATGAAGGAAATTTGGGAGATGTGTAGTTTCTAGGAGAGGGTTTGATGAAAGGTAACACCAAGGTTTTTTACAGAAGTATGGAATGAGATAATGGAGTTCAGGAAAAGATTGGGGAGTGTCGGTAAGGATTTGAGGAGAGGGATTTCCGATCAGAATGGCTTTCGTCTTCTTGCCATTTAGAGTAATTCTGTTGTGGTTTGCCCAGGCACGAATTCCGTTTATATCTTCCTGTAATTTTGGGATGGCGTCAGAGGATTCGGTCAGATTGAAGGACATGTAAATCTGAACGTTGTCGGCATACAGATGGTATTGACTTTGTAGGATAGAGGATGGAAGGTCATTGATGTAGATGGAAAAAAGGGTGAAGATAAGGAGGAGTCTTGTGGGACACCTCTGAACAAGGGTAAAGATTCTGATGGGTGGGGGAGGGGATTATTGGGGACTACCACATACTGGGAGCGGCCGTACGGTACGTAAGGTACTAGTTCAAAAAGAGATATTTTTAAGCTTGGTTAGGAGAATTTTGTGGTCTACTGAGTCAAAGGCTTTGGAGAAGTCAAGGAGAATAAGGATGGTGAGTTGTTTTTGCTAGTCCATGGCTGTATGAAGGTCTTGAGAAATTTTAATAAGGGCAGATTGAGTGGAGTAGCCTGGCCGGAAACTGGGCTGCTTAGGATTTAGGAGGTTATTCTGTTCTAAAAATTCGGATAGCTGGGTTTGAACTAGTCGCTCTAAAGGTTTCGAAAGGTTTGAGAGGAGGGAAATTGGACAGAAATCATTAAGAGTTGATGTGTCGAAAATCTTCTGCATAGGGCAAACTAGTGCAGTTTTCCAGGTTGTAGGGAAGGCAGCATTTTGTAATGAATAATTGTAGATATGGTAGAGGATTGGAAGGATGGATGGTAGTGAGGCTGTGATCTGTCTGACTGGGATGTTATCGGGTCCATAATCATTGGTTTGCAGGGAGAATTAATTTTCCTGGGTGCAATCCATTCCTGAAGTTTGGCATATTCCTTCTGACTCACACCTTATTGTTAAACTTTTTCAATTCCTATAAATACAATCACTAAAAATAAATATTTTACATCATACTTTTAAATTTATAAAAAATAAATGAACGAAAATAAGAGGAGGGACGCCTGCCAAGTAGGTCACTATAGCTTGCTCTTCATTTCTATTGTGGAAAAATAAAAAGAAATTTACCGTTTTAATTTTAATACTCCATAGTGATCTTTTTTGATTTCCTTATTTTTTATACTTCTGAATTATACAATTAATTCGTAACTTTATTATTTTTTAATATGTTTCAGAATATCAACCCCATCATAAGCTTACGTACTATTTCTTAGATGCTTTAAGTGTATCTATCATTATAAATTTGTCTCATTTTTAAATTAATTCACATATTAAACAGAAGTATTTAATTTTTTTTATGCTCTTTTCTTACTGAAACTGAGCTTGTAAAATTCATGACCAGATATAAACTGAAATATGTTTTAATTGCTTCAACATAATACCAAAAATGTTTTATTGAATCACTAACATTTAACATAAATTAACTGAGGTATATTTTTAGCCGTTCTTTGTCTGTATGTATTGAATACTATTTAAATTCAATAAAAATAAATACATATAATGGACACGCGTTATATGGAAACAAATCACTAAAATCATTATTATTATTTAAATAGACAAAGGCAAAACAGTTTTTTTTTTTTTTTTGTTTAGTAGCTACTGACGAACATTAACAACGTAAATTCAACGATAATACGTAAATTCAATGATTTTTTTTTCCTTCCTTTTTTTCGCTTTTCCATCAAGATTTGTACAGTTTACAGTATAGTTTAGGCATCGGCATATGCAAACGTTTTGACCAATAAAAGATATTAGTTGAAAAAATTTATTTATATCGGACATATCGGCCTTATTTTTCTTTTCCGTCAAGATTTGTACAGTTTCACATGGAATACCATACTTATTGCCAAATAAAAGGATAAATAGACCATCTACACATTGGCCTATGCACAAGTTTTGACCAATAAAAGATATTGGTCGAAAGAAATTTATTTATATCGGCCTTATTTTCACTTTTCTGTCAAGATTTGTACAGTTTAACATGGAATATCCCACTCATTACTAAATAAAAGCATAAATAGAAAATCTACACATCGCCCTATACACAAATTTCAACCATTAAAATATATTGGTCGAAAGAAATTTATTTATATTGACCATATCTCCCTTTTTTTTTTCTTTTCTGTCAATATTTGTATAGTTTCACATGGAATACACTACTTATTGCTAAATAAAAGAGTAAATAGACCATATACGCATCGCCCTATGCACAAGTTTTGACTGATAAAAGATATTAGTAGAAAGAAATTTATTTGTATCGGCCATTTTTTCGCTTTTTCATCAAGATTTGTACAAGTTCACATGGAATACCCTATTTATTGCTAAAAAAAGAATAAATAGAACATCTACGCATCGGCCTGTACATAAATTTCGACCCATAAATGATATATAAACTTATATTTCAGTATATCAGTCATTCGTTTCTATAGGTCTAGTTTAGTACAACATCGCATTGAAAATTCTCATAATTGCTGGACGTAAGTATCATTTAATCATAATGATATATCGGCCTGATGACTTCATTTTATCAAAATTATTACAGTTAGACCATTTTTTAAAATATATTTATATTATTTTTTTTTTTTTTATCCTCTCTCAAAAATTTGAGCCCATACTGATATTCTAAACTGTATCTGCTTTATGACCTAATTCTATTATGATTTATAGAGTTTCCATGGAATAAATATTATTTCTTTTCCTAATAAATGTGTCAATCAGTTTCCAAGGTATTGACATAAACTTAAATTTGAGCGAAGAGAGATAAAAGTCCTAGTAACTCGTTTTTTTTTTTTCTTTTCAGGGTCCACCCCTTCCTTGCCTTTTAGACTATAAGTTAAAATTATCTCATATATCCGGTAGCTGGGCAACGGCAGTGCTGAGCTTGAGAGTTAGTCTCAAGACTTTATTTTAAAAAATAAAAAAATTATCAAACTCTACCTATCTCGATTTTTTTTGTTGATTTTTTGCTTGTCTTCTTCCAAATGTTTTTCGGTCCAACCCATATCGGCCAATATATTGGCCTTTTGACTTTATTTTATGATAATTCATAGAGTTTCATGGGGAATATTATTTATACTGATAATAAATGGGCCAATCGATCGCCATGGAATCGATATGAACATAAATGTGAGTACAGACCAATATATAGCCCTTTTGACTTTATTTTATCATAATTCATAGCCCATAATATACTGATATTTTCTTATTACTGTTTATTTATTTCACTTACTTAATTTAAAAATGTTTTGAATAATGGAAGGATCATTTGGAGAGGTGTATTGTGGCCAAGGGAGAATAGTTTGAAGGCTATCAACAGTTGGTATAATTCCTGTTTCTTTAGGTCCTCCCTCGTATAGGCCAAACAAATATTTTTGTAGACCACACTTTTTTTCGATTTTGTGATCAAATTATCTTACAATTGAAGTGGAAAGTAAATGGGCTAATTAAATGAGAAAATCCTCCATGTCTATGAATTTCCGTAGATAAAAAATTAGATTTGATTGGAAAGTAAAAGTCGTCCACCGACTCTTTTACTTACCTACCAAAGTGTCAGTACTTTTATACCTTCAGTGCTCGAAACACAGTCAATAAGAGAAAATATTACTTTTTTATAAATTGATTATATACATTATTTTTAGTTTGTATAACTTTTTACATATCTCACTTATCATCAATCACTTTTTTTTTTTAACCATTATCTGTAGTATAATATTATATCTCTGATTGTATTAAAAAATTTTCAGCCCTGATGATGACCCACATGTTTGGGTTGAAACATCGGCACCAATAAAAACTTTATAATTACTGCATCCTGAATATTTATCACCCATGAAGTTTTAAATTAGTTTTTTTTTTCCTTAGTTGATTATAATTACCGAGAAAATAAGGATTGATTCTTTCCACCTAATTTATATTACATCATTTAATTTCCTATTATTTTGTCATTTGTTCACTGCCAATTATGCTTTGCGAATTATTCATCTGGCCCAAACAGTTGTTATAAATGGGGTATGAATATCTGAAACATTTATTCCTCCACTCAAAACTTATTTTAAAATTTTTTAATTACATTGCTGGGAAAATAAAGCAAGGTTGTTTTTTTTAAGCCTTTTTTAAATGATTTCCCTTCATCTGACTTAAAGTGTTCCAATAAAGCTGGGATAACTTTATTAATTGATTTATTGTTTTAGAATTTAATGAAGAATATATTATTAAAATATGTTTTTCGATAGATCTATGATGAAAAGTTGATAAAACTTTTTATTTTAAAATATTTAATTGTTTGTTTTATTATTATAGGGCCTGTAATGTTGGATGAATTTGTAGAATGGTTAAAAATCGCAAAATGCAATGATCATATCAGGAGCTGAGGATAATTGTTGTGACAGGATGTCACTCTTCTACTCGCTCCTTAACAGCCTCAACTACCTTACTTACCTACCTTCGATTTACCTGTGTTCATTACAAAACTCGACTTTTAAGTTTAGTAATTTTTATTTAAAACACAAATAAAATAATTTTTTTAATAAAATGTGAATTATGTATTAGGTATGTATTTAAGGTGAATATTGTATTTGATATATTTCGTAATATAAATGAAAATCTATTACGAATGAATTCTCTTGGTTTTTATAAGTTATCATCACCTGTAACAAGCCTGATTATTTGTATTTTCTAATGTGTTATGTTCAAAATAAATTATATTTATAATTTATAAATATTTTGCCTATTACCAAATGACTGCTATTAAATATTATATTTGATTTTTGTCAAATTTTTATAATTTAAAATTTAATTTAATAATTATATCCTCTGAAATTTAAGGAAAAACTTGATGTCCTTTATATAGAGGTATACCTGTAGCTAATAATAAGTCTATTACATATAAATTGAAAGTGTGGAAATAAATTACTTAGAAAGCCTGAAAATTGTCTGCCTAAGCATCTTTTATCTGCATGAATTCTAATATATTGTAAGAAGTAATGATATAATAGTTAAAATGAACTGGTATTATTGACTGGCAGTTATCGAAAGAAAAATAGGATAGATAAGTTTCAGTACATTTTTTTTAATAGCAGTAATTTTGCTTTATTGGTATCATCCTTAAAACTCTCATCAGGAACTTTGTCTTTAGTCATTTATCATATATAATTTTAGATATTAGAAGTGAAGCCTGGTGATAATGGAAAATACATTTATCAATGAGAAGGTGTAATGTATGTATCTCAATTAAGAATCAATTGAAATACATTAATGTTATTTAGTAAACTTGAAATCATAATTTATCTCTCTTTTTTTTCTTATATCATTATCCTTTATTCTCTTTATGTGCAATTAATCTATTTCCAATTTTGAAAACTACTTTAGGTGAGTTAAAGTATAAATTCTATTCAGTGATGTTTGAAGTATTGGGGAAAATTAGATAAAAGTTAGTTACCTTGTAAAAGTTCATGGTAAAAGAAAATGGCTTGAAATTTTGCTAAGAATTCTAATCCTAATTTTAAAAAAATAATAAATGTATATTTTTCCCCTCTGGTTGTGTGAAACTGTGTTGTTTGCAGATGTTAATAATTGCTTAAGAATCTCTATTCCTAAAGGGCACTTCCAGAGCTCTTATAATTATCTTATCCTATGGATAACCATATTCTTGTATATATATTTTCTAATAGACATTAAATTATGTAATTAATTTTTAATCATTATTTTATTTATATTTTCAAAAGTTGATGCCTTTTTAATTTATAACTGTAACCTTTTTAAGTTATTTCACATAAACAGGAGTGAAAAGAAAAACAAATTAAAAATTGTATGCTTTGATTAGGAAATATACGTCTTTATTTGGTATGACAGAAGTGTTTGCTCATTTAATTGAGAATCCTATTTTAAGTATCTGTTCTTGTTTTATACACAGTAAATTTTTCAGTCAACCATATCTGCTGATAATCTCGTTTCCTGAAATCCTGCAATGGCTCAGAATCGACTGTAGGATCACATTGGTGTCTCAGAGTGTTAGGTTATAGAGCAGGAATTTGCACTCCAAGATAGATCTCAACAGACATTCATTAACAGCGAGAATTGCTGCTTGAGAGTCGATGAAGAGATCAGTGCTCTGAACTTGCCTTCTTGATAGTGTTCTTAGGGCTATGAAGATTCCTGTTATCTCACCGTCGAAATCCATACCATCCTCACCTACCGCAGCACTGAACTAAAACTTCCTCGAGTAAACCTCTTCCCCAGCATTTTTGACAGCTGATTCGTCAGTATAAATGTGAAGCCAATCCTGAGAAGGGTACTTTTGTGCTATAGTTTCTAGTGCTATTGCTTTTAGCTCATAGTCTGGTGTTTCTTTTTTATCCACCTTATGGAGGAGTTGCAACTCTACTTTGCTTGTGTGATTGTGGATTGGGAACTGTGCCTATATAAATGGTTATCTTTCTTCATAGTCAAGCTGTTAGATATTTGAATATTAAAATACAAAACTACAATATTAGTAATCACAACTCTTTCATCGTAAAAGATAATACTGTGAGGTCACTACAACTAAATGTACTTATTGTTATTATCGATATATCACAGTTTCCCCCTGTCTAAAGAACGTGTATCACAGTTTAAAAAATAGCAAAATATTAAAAACAAACAAAAATTATCAAAAATACATATAATCCTTGTAAAGAACGATTTTAGCGTTAATGCCGCAAATAAGATTACTTGAGGAAGAATAAAAAAAACAATTGTCACCTGTCACATTTTTAGTTGAAACAGACGACGGTATTATATGCAAATGCCATGTGGACCAAATTGTCAGATTTCTGCACGAGAAAAAAAAATAAGAGAAGAGGCTATTTCTGCAAATCAACAAGAGAGCAACCAAAGGATCGGTCATGGAAGTGTTAGCCTTCCTTGAGAGCTGCAAAAGACTCAGTTGTTTGTGTTAGTTTAATGTTAGTTAATTTGTTTTGTTAGTTTAATTTCTATTAAGTATATATATTGAGAATATTGTTATATTAATGAAGAAAACATCTAACAGATTCATTAAAGTTCTGTATGTGATGTAATCAGACTAAAATATGTTGATCTTAAATATTTCATTGGATAAGCACACCTGAGGCTGTAGTGTATTATAAAATAGTAATTAATTAATTTTGATATTGTCAATTAACAGTAGCTTGAGAAGCTAAGTTCATGTACAAATTTTGATTCTAAAAATGGTAAATATTCCTTACAGGTCCTTTTAAGTAGTAGAATGCTCTATTGGCCTCTAGTCTATAAGAAAATTGTCCATAGCATACTCAACAGATAGCCCAGATTTTAACATGCACATTTTATCTTTGAACGTACCAACAAAATTTTCTGCAGCTCCATTTGTTACTGGGTGTTACTGTATGCCTTATACCATTCCTTTTCAGAAAGTTTCTGAATAAACTACTTGTAAATTGGGGTCCTCCATCAAATCAAATGATCACACAATCCATGTCTAACATGACAACTAAAAACATCCTGTTGCATAAAGGACCTAAGAATTCAGCATGTAGTCGAGACCAAGGTTTGCTTGGATAAGGCGACTACGAATTTGGAATTTTGGTTGGATTCTTTTTATTTGCTACATAGGTGATGCAACTTCCAACATAATTAACAATGTCTAAATCCAACTTAGGCCACCAAAAATAAGATATTGCGATTTGCTTCATCTTGGTTATACCAAGATGTGATATGTGTAAATATGTAAGATGAGTCGAAGTGATTCTGGTATAATCACTCTTATTCCCCATATGGGAAATCCTTTATCCAGCATTATTCTAGTTCTTTGAGAAAAACTTTTTTTCAATATCGGATAAAGTCTTATTTTCAGTTGGCGACACCGCAGCTATTCAATTTATCACCTTGCTTAATATTTTCTCTTTCACTGATTCAATGACCACTTGTTTGTAATTCAACAAAGGCATACCCTTTTCTACATAGTTAACAGCTATAAATTCTGAACCAAATACTGCAGTGTGGTCATTTAAATGCAATCTTGATAACACATCACAGTTACCATTTCCAGAGGACCTTTCGACTTCTATATTGTAATCCTGAAAGATAATGAGCCCATTTTTGTAATCTATTTTGAATTGTGACTGATAGATTTTTGTATTTTCCAAAAATGTATTTCAAAGGTTCATGGTCTGTTCTAAGAATTATGTGAGTTCCATAGACATACTGGTAAAATTTCTTGAAGCCAAAAATGATGACAGCAGCTTCTTTATCAATGATTACCCTATGCCTTTCAGTTACCGGAATTACTTTTGACGCAAATGCTATGGGTTTTTCATCTCCATTCTTGAATTTATGAGAAAGGATCGCTGACAGTCCATATTGACTGGCATCGCATGACAGGACTAATTGTTCATTTGGATCAAATAATGTCAATACCTTATCTAACACGATTTGCTTCTTGATCCATTTGAAACTTTCCTCACATTCTTCGGACCAATACCACTTTTCTGACTTCAGCAGATCATAAAGACAACTACTTTATGTGCAATTAATGTTTCTGTGCTTCAGAAATGATTCATAATAATTTACTAATCCAAGAAAACTCCTTAACTGTTTGCAATCTTTAGGCCTTGGAGCACCCGTAACTGCAATAACCTTACTTTCTGCTGGATGAATTCCTTGTTTATCCAGAACAAATCCTTAAATCTCCAACTTACTATTTAAAAATTCACACTTTCTTTCATTTACTTTTAAGCCTGCGTCATTTAAGTGCCTAAATATTTCGGTTATGGTAGAAATGTGCTCTTCATCTGTTCTACCTGTACAATAAATATCCATTAAAATTTCCTGGCATTCTCCAGGGCTGGACACCATACCCTCCGGTAGCTTGATATATTGAAATAAACCTTCATTTGTAATAATCGTTAGTGCTTCTTTGGAACTTTCATCAACTCTGAATTGCATGAATGCATGTGCTAAATCAATTTGGGACCATTTACTATCTACTTGTAATTTACTAAAAACCTCTTCTTTACTTGGCACAGGTTGACGTTTGATAACTAAATGTGAATTGACGGTTAATTTAAAGTTACCACACACTCTAACTTGCTCATTCGATTTCAGAACAGGTACTATAGGTGTCGCCTACCTACTAACCGTCACAGGCTCTAGATTACCTGCAGAAATTTATCTTTTCATCTTTTCTTTAAGTGCAAAAGGCATCCTATGTGGTTTCAATTGTATAGGCACTGTCTTTTTAAAAATTAATTCAATCTTTTTTTCTGTATAAATTCCTTGCCCTGAACTAAATAATTTTGGAAATAATGATTTAACCTTAGCCATTACTTTCTCACTTGTCTCCTCTGAACTACAATAATTTAATTCTAGTTTGAAT